GGCGTTACAAAATAATTAGAAATGTGCAGCGGCATGGCTTATACTGTTTGTTGAACACTATATTTAAAAGATTTCGATTCTAAAAGTGTTAAAGATCTGACCGTTCCTGCTATAATAGTTCAAAATTGGATTATGCAAAATGAATATATTAAACATTTAATTCAAATTACTTTGAGCGAAGTTAGCATTGTTTGAAGTTTTGACAAGATGTGGCATAGATTGTTATTATCGAGACATAGCCTTGATTCACGGTTAGATCTATTTACGAAGGCCACCTAAGACCTAGCCCTAAGCCTTAACCTAATCTAACCTAACCTAACTCACAATCCTCGGCAACAATCACGTGCCCTAACCCTGTTTACATCTCGTGACCTTGTGGAAATCTAACCCTTGATTCACCACGACCGTGTTTCAATATGTTTAAATCTCCACCATCTGATAATAGTAACATTTATGTAACATTTTAAACCAGAATAAAGACCTGTAATAGGCAGATTTAACTCTGAAATAATGCATCTTTAAGTAAAACTTAAAACTACCGCCTTATAACTTTTAAATACGTGTTAGATCAGCAGCATTTTCTTTGCTTTTCTGTAATTTATAGTCACATAAATTATGGTTTAATGCTGTAATATAATGTTGAATTGTTGTAATTTGGGGATTCATATACTTCTTACTGGACGGCACCCACGCCGTAAACTTCATCGATATCCAATAAAAATCGACAGTTTACCCTTAACCGTGTCGGCCAAAAGAATTGCAAATTCAATTATAGTAATGCAGACAGAAAGGTTGGGACGCTTGGAAAAAAAGACATTGTGTGGACAGAAGTCGTATTAAAAACAGCAATTGGCTAACTGAATCTTGATCTTTCCCCAATGTTAATGATCAAATGAAAACGATTAATGTCGTTGACAGGTTTACAGAAAAAAATATAATTAAACAAAACAGAGTGTCGGATTGGAAGATAACTCAATGATTTACGCCTGCAATTTGCGATTCGAATTTTCGAAAATTTCAAAAGATTTTCTGTATATCGGGCTCACAACCTGTCGCGGTGATAACGGCGATATTTTTAATGATTCTGAATTGGGATAGAGAAAATGGAACAATTTAATCCCGACTTCAAAAAATAATAATGATATTATTATTTCAATATCTGGTATGGAATGTGAAACCTCCTAATTATTTCAATAACTGTACATATAAAATAATCTATATCTATTTTTTTGGACTATACACGCCTTAAAATGTGCGTATCAATTTAATTTAAATCAGATGTTAATTATCTTTCGCTTTATTTTTCGGCTGGACAACATAATCATCTAGAATATCTTATTTAATGTCGGTGTTCAAATCACGTGAATTTTTTGACTAATTATATTGCACTTGTGTGAAGGGCTTCGGATTGTGGTGAATTATGGTAATAGCCATGGGAGGCTTGGCCAAAACCATTGATTTTCCCATTGACTCTTATGTTATTTGTTGTCTCTATGACCGGCTCTAACTTTACCCTAATATGTCGTTGCATATAACAGATGGAACAACATGTGGCAACATCTGGCTTAGAAGCATGATGTATGAGGTCCGTCATGGAAATCTTGAGAATATGAAGTAGTATAATAATACACATTCCGATGCCCGCCCTACATTTCAAGGTAATCAACCTCTGAACATTGTTATCCTACCACCTCAAAGTCATGTAAAATGATTTTTATTTAAGTTTTGACAAAAATATTGTAATTTATAATCAATAAATTCTACAGGTTTTTTTAAATTAACATTTTGTCGTTTGTGAATCAGCCTTTACTAATTACTTCCACACTGTCTTGTAGGATATGTTTTTATTTGTTCATTACAAAATGGCCCCGAAACCATGGAATACGCGACTCGTGTACTGATTATAAAATGTTAATTGTGTCTTAAATATTGGATCCCCTATTTTCACGGCAAGATATGTTATCTGCTTTTAATTGTGCTGTCCAGAAGTTAAAAAACATTCCTTTCTCTGTATAAAATTCCTCCACATGGTAGCATGTAATGTTTCATCGTGTTGACATCAAGTCACAGATAAAAAGAAGCTTCAGGTTAGCTAACCCAAGTCGAAGAGATTCCACAGATCGGACTTTTTCTTTATTGATTAATAGAAACCGTATTGTAGAGCCAAAATATGAAGTTGTACAGTGTAAAATAGAAGCGTATAATCTGTGCTATGTTGGATATTATCGTCTGAATAATACATGCAATGGAATGGAATTAGCGTTCAGGGACGACTACTGGTATTCACTAATTAGTTAGGGTTCACATAACGTATTCGTCAAATGTTAGGTCTATATTTGCAAGTGATCTATAAAAGTATGGACAGCAGTATAATCCTCATATTCCTATCCATGTGGAATGGTAGTATGTCAGTTTTTCAGTATGTGGTGGATGATAACTCTTAGCTGGCTATTTCTTGTTATTCCCATGGTGAAGACAAGGTGTGAAAAAACCGAAAATGGTAAAAGATATAGACTAACAATAGGTAATGATAATAACATTAGACCTGGTGTCAAGTTACAAAACTCAACTATCCTTTTTAAAAATAGTAGGGGATGAATTGGTTTGTAAAAAAAAACAAAAATAGGGCCACATATATATATGTTGCTTCCGTTTGTATGATAATATTGTATCTTGCAGCTTTGCTCACAGATGACAGCAATCCTAATGCAACACCCCAGGAAACAATTTTAATGGATAACATTCGTTTGGCCGGTGAGGCGGAGGAGTGTTTGTCGCCAAATTACGTAAAATTGAATATTGGTGAATCTCTTGGATTAAAGAAACATGGATGGGCTACGATTAAAACTGGGATGGAAGACGGTAACTCTATATAATTTCAATTATCAAAGTTTAATAACAGACTATGATGTTAAGCGTGAAGTAGCTATCTAAATTCGCTTTTAATATATTAAAGTTGCCCGAGTAAAACAAAATACTGAGTAATATTACACAAGTATCTGATTGTGAGCGAGTAGAGAATTCAAACTAGGGTGTCCAAGGTTCGAATCCGGCTTGAGCCGAAAAGAACCTTTCAGATTTTACAGATTTTGTTACGATTAGTAAGTGGCTGCCTTCCGGGGTGTCAAAATGGCAAGATTCATACGTGTACACATAACTGGACATCGAAGGTGTGTAGGCGACAGTTCTGCTATCCTGGTGAAGTTCTCACCCCAATTCCCAATCATTGCATTTCACACCACAGTATACTTTGAAGAAAAAAAACCCTAATATGTTAATCTCAAAATGAGCGTGGTTCTTATAATCACGAAACGATCAACTTCGCTCCCTTCGTTGACAAATATCAGTTTATTTACCGTAAGGCTTGATATTACCCACTTTGTATATTTGCAGCTATGGCATCCCAAGGCACCAACCCGAATCTCATCATTGGGCCCTTTTACACGAATTTAGCTATGGTGTTAGAAAAAGAAGGTATCCCCTACTTAGTGACTGATTATAAAGGTTTCGACTGGATTGATATGAGTCGTGTAGAAGATACAGTTAAATGGAAGACTATAGTGGAGATTCGTCCACCAGTCCAAGACCAGAATTTAGCGGTAGTAGATAAGTTTGTTGTTGAGGAATGGGTCAGTGCGATTATGATCATGCCAGAAAATCAAGCAGATAACCAAGGTATGTTTTCAATGGATGTTGTGTTAGATTTTCAACAAGATTTATATGAATGTCCCCTCCCCCAATCATATGTAATTAACCTAGACACGATACCCTAAATGTATTCTGATTAATTATCCCAATGGCAAGTGCCTGAATTATATAGTTTACATATTCTTCCAGTAACCCAATTGATGTGGCTTCTATACCGCAAACTTAAAATGTTTTCATAATTAGGTTTTAACTAGAATCATACATACACAACGAATAGCAATTCTCAATTTAGACACGTTTTCAGTTTGTAACCATATTTACAAATAAATGTAACTAACAAGGTAATTTGTATATTTCTAAGAATGTCAAGACCTCGCAAGTCAGCTCTTAAACGAGGAAGTTTCTTTGATACCACATTCTGTGGATGTTTCAACCAATGAATCCGAAACCCTGATCAATAAGATTCTGCTTAACGTACGCCTTTCCAGACAAAGACATATAATAGTTTGTAGTCCAAGAGATGAACGAGATCAACTTATTGCAAAAGTTTTGAAAGGGGTAAGTAGTTCCGGAGATCAACTTAAAGTACTGGCAGGGGGTATAATATTCTAGAGATTAACTGTATGAAGGTACCGCACTTAAATAATTGGCTACAGATAAACATGTTGTGAAATTAAGTACAGTACTAAAATCGGTAAGTAATTTTCTAGAGATGAATATATTGTCGTAGGCCTATACTGAAAGAGCTAAGAAATTTCTAGTGAAAGTACCGTGCTGGGTGAAGTAGTTCATTTTGTAGAGATGGAACTGTTGTTAAAACGCAGCACTGAAATTGTGGGTAATTAATGTTCTAGAGATGAGCTGAAATGGGTAAGTAATGTTAGTCTGAAAGTACGGGGTAAGTATTATTCTGAAGAAGGAGTACTCAAAGTAATTTTTTAAGAGGAAGAAGTATGTCAGCTTTTTCTTCTTTTTTTTTTTTAAAAAAAAAATAATGGATAGAATAGAAGGTCTCGTTGACATAGTGCTTGCGTATTTTGAGACTAGCAGGTGTCAATTTCTATGCGAGGTACTAAGACACTTCCAAGTGTACACCAAAATGTACACGTGTAGACCTTATCTTGAAACAGCCCAAAGGTTTAGAAAAGGGTGACCTATTATGAAAGTTTTTATGGTTGCACTTACTGTTCTGAAGATGAACTAAACCAATTTACGGAGACATTAGTTTTACTCCTTACATTAATTAGTTCCCTTCCCACTGTCTTTCCTTATTTGAGCTACACGTATTTTGTCAAACTCAGCGTGATAATGACCTGTACCCAGCTATAAATGTATGTATATAAACACTGATTTATTCTTTACATATTCAGGCGAAGACATTTAACTTGTTGTCGAACGAAGAGCAATATTTTATATTCGTTGATCCAGTTAGTATTGTGTTTTTTTTATTCATTATTTGTAATATCAAATTCATCATCTTTGAAATCTCTCCAAATCAGACATTAAAGTACCATCGACGCACAACGACACTGTTATTCATGGGAAACTGCATGTAGGACTGCGAGGTTCTGACCGGCAGAGACATATATTCCTAAGAAACGTTGCTGGTCGTATATTTGAAAATCACGGGCACTACTTTTGAGATGGTCATTGATTACAAAGGCAGGAATGGAAACTACAACATGACTTTAAAATATAAAATGACTCTTGTTTAGCCCCATAACTCACAACCCTGAGAAGAAAAAAAAAAGATTTGTAGAAAGTTCATAACTTTGTTAATATCTCAGTTTTATATCAATCTTTTAGAGGCATTTAGTAACTGGAGAGGGCAATAAACTATAAATGGAAAAACAGCCACTTATTTATTTGGGCTGCGCTTCTAAGAGTATTCTCTCAACGTTATCAAGCGTTATCAAGCTAATTTTTTTTTTTTTTTTAATTTACTAAAGTATGTAAAATAATACATTAACATAGAAATGAAAGAAATTATAGAAATTGACACATTTACTGTTCAATGTTTCAGATATTTAGAATCTGCTCGTCATCTTCGGAACAAGGATTCGTTGAATAATTCCGATTTATTCATTTTGTGAAGAATGGGGTTTGATGACACCATTAGTAAGACTGGTATTACTTAATTTATTTATTTTTATTTACTGAATTTCAGAGCTCTTATCTTCTGCCTTTCTCTGATGCAACTAATATGTTTAACCTCCGTCTTTTCTCCATACGTTGTCACCTTTTAGCATTTCGCTACATTCGTCCAGAAGGAAAGGTGGGGAGTGCCATGGATGCTGCCTATATGGATGCAGGGAGAATAACAACAGTGGGCTTAAGTTCCTATATATCTGATCAAACAGAGGTCACCAACGAATTTTCAGGAGCAAGGTTTATAAAAGCTTTAAAATCCGTAAGTTTGAATTTGTTTGCTTACTCGGGATAGTTTGTATTCCTTGACCAAGCCTCGTGCGTTTCCAGTCAAGGTCTTTTGAGATGTTTCAAGCCCAGCTCTGGCTTATCTATATAAAGTCATAGCTGGCGTTCAGATATCACTTCGGTGATATCACCTCGGTGGAAGCGGACGTAAAATACAACTAACTCATCGTTCAGATTACACCAGTTCCTTTTGTTCGTGGGTCTTTTTAGGCTCTGTATTTAATCGGCATATCTTACATATTGCGTTCCTCGTTCCCACTGGCCCCAGAAGTTTTTCCTCGGAGGTTGTTGTCTCTAAAACATCGCCATCGGTACTAGACTATAACACACACATAATGTTTTCAACGCGAATTGCGTGTATTCAGCTGTGACCTGAAATGTAAAGACTACAGCAACGTCTGAGGCGAAACTAGAAAAGTCGACAGCATAACAGCAAGCTAAAAATAATAAAAATAGCATAAGTAAATTTCCTAATTTCTTTTCTTCGAGTTGCATTTTTGCTTTGTGTGCGTGGTGGTGGTGTGTGTGTGTGCTGTCGTGGCTTCTTATTTTCGATTTTTCAACTTTTGCGTTCTGCAGGGGCGTAAATTCGAAATTATGAATGAATGGTTGTTATAAGCTTCCATAGGAATCGTTTTTTTCTGGTCAATAAGCATATTTTTTCTTAAATTTATAGTTTGGTACTTTTTTATTTGAACTTTTTACACAAGGTAAAGTTAGAAAGAGGTAAAACTGGCAAAATACATTTTAATGCCACTGGGCAGAGGATAGGATACAAATTAGATCTTTACAGACATGGCGGCGAGAAAATGTATCAAAGGGTAAATACGTCTTTATTGTAATCTTAATGGCTACTTTTTATTGTGTAAAATCTTTATAGTTATCACTAAAAGATACATTATGGGAGATTAGATAAAGAGCTGGCAGCTCTCACTATAATAGTTAAAAACTAGATAATGTAAAGGGAAGTTGCTGAAAATTTCAGTCAAATTGATCCACTCTGAACCGAGATTTTAGAGATTGAATTTTATTACTAAAGTCGGTACGATCAAAAAACATAGTCCCGATTATCCATTTCATGATTAAATCATGAATGGAAGTCGAACAGCAAATCGGAACATAATCCAATAAACATCGCAGGCTAGCGATGACATCGAGAGTTGATCATGGTTTGGATAAATTAATTAATGTCTAATTAATAATTTAGATAGCATTTCAGACGTAAAGAAAGGCCTGCAATAGGCAGATTTAGTCTTGCATAATGTATGTTTAATTTTCCTACCTAGCATCACAAATGTAACTATAGAAATAAAACTTATCATGTCTCAAAATGATAGAAGTATTGTGTTGACCCCATTCTATTTCATTACCATAATCTGTATAACATGAATTCATTTTGTCTACTTTTGACAATCTGGATTATATTTCTGTACGATTCAAAATAAAAACTTTTTTCTTACATTCATCCGAAAGTGGGTAGACTACGCCTTCATCGCTAGTTTTGACTATATGTTTCAAAGCTTTGTGTTCGAATCCCCTCCGCCTTATCTTTTACGTTTCAGATCGCGGAATGGGGTTTGAATGGTACCGACGCAGCTGAGCGACTAAATCAAACTGTACCAGATGATGGGGCATTAATAAAAGCCAAGTTTGATATATTTCCAGAAACCGTGTATGTGGTGGTAGTTATTGTAAGTATTTAGGGTTTCACACTGCGTAGCTTGTGTGAAACACTATTGTTTTTGTTCGGTTTATTATTCTTCTTATTATTTTTCTTTTTCCACTTTGCTTATATCTCAGTAACTACATGTCGGATCGATTCGATGTCTTCGTTCTGCGACAATGCGAAATGTCCGAAATCACCAAAGTTGTCATTTTTAAAAATATCGCCGTAATTTTAACAATAATCGTCGGATTTTAAAGATAGGTTCCAAGAAAAGTATTGGTTATTTCCAGTAAAAGTATGGCAATTTTGGTATATATGGAAAGTAGAGGTAACCAATCTTACTAGAAAAATACTGGATTCCCTGAAAAACACCCATGGAGCGTATACAGGACAAAAATGTCAGGGTTCCCCTAATCGACAGCCCGACGATTAGGAATATCTGCACGCGTGACGTCAAAGGTTGCACGCGGAGATTGAGCGCTTGATGTACATGTTGATAAACTTTATGAAGAGTTAGACGTACAACACTTTCTGAGACAAAAATCACGGAAAAAGACGCGGGCAGTGGATAATCCGAGAATTTAATTAGGATTCGATATTTGTAATAAATAGTCAGCTATTAAAGACAACATCGTCTTGTGTATGCAATGAATCCCCCCCCCCCCCGACTTCGCACCCGTAAGTTACGTGACACAAACATGACCTCTTTTGGTCGATTTTATTTTTTTATAGCAAAGGTATTCCTTGACAATTACAATGTTTCGAGGAGGATTTGAAGCAAATTTATGATATATTAATTAGTTTGAATATGTTTGTAGGACAAATATATCTTCAAATCACCCAGTTTGTACACGGGAAGGTATCTTTAACTGTCGATACATTTTGTTATAGCCGGAGACATGGCACATAGCTTCGCTACTTTTGATTTTTCATTTTTGGCAAATCGTCGTTGATATTAGGCGCCAAATTTAGTAAATTTAAATTTTTACAAAAAACTTTTTTATTTATGAATATTTTTTGATGGTATTTTACACAGGATTAAAGGGTCATCTGACTTGAGCAAAAATGTTAACAATTTTTGTCTAAGTAATTTACGTAAGCCGCCATTAGCTAATTCAGTTTTCCGTCCTAGATTAATTATTTATGGTTATATTTATATCAAACAAAGTTCATATGCTCCGTGGTCCCAAATGTCATTTTTTTTGTTACCGATAAAGTTTTCTGTCCTCAACGGAAGTAACGTAATTTTACCAAAAACTACAATTTTGACAGTTCGGTACGACTTTTTGAAAGGAAATATTATTTTTTTAAAATCTGATATTACTAAAGGGGGTGTGTCCTGTAAAGGCGCTTAGAATCTCGCGCTCAGTTTTTGAAATTTCGATTTTATTTTCGAGCCATTCGAATAAAAGGTAAAAAAAAGGGTGTAAAATTAAGCTATTTACAACCCATTCGGTGTCTTCATATTTTGAAATATTTCTTCGTAACTTTTATGAACTTGTAGCCATAATCCACACGAAAACAGTCTATACGAAAGTCAGTTTGCAACTTGAGCGGTTACCGAGAAATAGACAATATTGCATGAGTCACTTTTCATGTTTCTTTTGTCTATAAAAGTTTCAGTTATTGATCGATTTTGAAATTGTTTTAACCATTTGATGCCCAATGCTAATTGTGACATGGTCAAACCAATTTAACATTTTCACTGCCACCGAAAATGGTGTCATTTTGGCAAAAACTGTATTTTTTGCCTTCAAAACAAATAATTTATTCAACTGGGTCATATTTAATATTTCTTCATAATTAAGATATTTAATTCCAATCAACAAATAGATCATGCGATCATATAGATATCACAAAGTAGTTTGTAACTTATTCAGTTGCCGAGAAATATACGATTTTCTACAAGTCACTTTTCAAGGTTTTTGGTCCATAAAATTGTCAATTATTATTCATTTGATTTTCATAACATTTTCACCATGTGATTCTTAATGTAATTTTGGCAAAAACTGTATTATTAGTCTTAAAAACAATTATTGTTTTGAAGTGAGTTATATTTATTATTCGTTTAACATTATGATATTTGATTCCAATGGACATATAGATTGGATCAATACGATCATATAGATGTCCAAAAATTGCTTCTAGCACCTTCCCTTGTTGAGAAATTTCCTATTAGAAAGTCATCTTATCTTTTGTCAGGGTCACTTTTTTGACATATGTAACACACGGTAACAAATGTATAAATGAAATTGAAATTGCTAGGTAACGTGGCATACTAATTCAGCAGATCTTTATCGACTGAATACTTTAAATTATTAGCTAATGATGAAAACCCTGCCAAAAATGAATGTAGAAAATGAGTCACAGTAGCATCGATCATTACGCCCAGAGGTCTGCATTGTGAAGTGGTCACAGACTGTACACAATCAAATACTTTCGCTGAGTAAAATAGTCCGTTTGATCGCTTTTGGTACATATTTCATAATCGAGACTATAATTATAGCGCGATGGGGGAATCTGAAATGGACGATCACGTGATAGCATAATAATGCACATTAATCATAAAATGGCGACATTGGGGTTGCCATGACTTGTAAGGGTACCTTTGCTATAAATCTAGAATTTTTGCGTAAAATCGAAACGAATTTTTCAAATAATTGGCTTGACTTTATCTGCGACTTTCTCAGTATTTTTTTTATTTTGAAAAGAAATGAAATGATATGGGGTTTAACGTCCTACTGTTCTGCTCCGATTTTTATTTTGAAATTTCATTACATTATACGTCTTTGGAATTAATGTTTTAATTTACAGGAAAAACCCTTTGTAATGAAGAAGGCGTCAGTTAATGGAGATAAATTTGAAGGCTTTACCGTTGATCTACTGGAGAGCTTGAGTAAATCTTTAAAATTTAACTATAAGATATATGTCAGCCCTAACCAATATGGCGTTAGGAAAGATGACGGTACATGGGATGGCATGGTCGGAGAAATTAAAAATGGGGTATGATTACTTAATATTACTAATATTATCAGCAATCGAACTTTCGATATTTTGGTATCAGTCATGTTCAAACGTTTTCCGCTAATGTGGTAGGTATACGTTTATAGGCGTGTGTTCAAATGTAGTTGACAGTGGAAGGGTGGGACAAGGTGTTTTTTGAAACTATAGGTAAACGCATAGAGTGACCAAAAAAGTTTTTGTATGTTTTGAAATATTGCCCATTATTTTTATGTTAAAGTTTGTCTTAAAAAAAACCCCATTATAATTATTATATTTTTTTTCAGATCGCAACATTAGCTATGGGTGCAATATCGATTACGTCAAAAAGAGAAATTGTTGTAGATTTCAGTCTTGGTATTTTGACTATTGGAGTGAACATCTTGATATCCATTATTTTTATGTTAAGGTTTTTATAAAAATCATAATATTATTATACTTTTTTTTTTCAGAACGCAACATTAGCTATGGGTGCAATATCGATTACGTCAAAAAGAGAAATTGCTATAGATTTCAGTCTTGGTATTTTGACTACTGGAGTGAACATCTTAATATCCAGGCCTGATGATCATTACACTATCTTCCAGTTCCTTAAGCCTTTTTCTCTTGAACTTTGGATGACAATTCTTGGCTCTTTTGTTGTTGTCTCCATGGTGTACTTCCTGTTGGACTATAAACGACCGTCGACGAAGTTTACTGCAAGGGAGACTCTTTGGTTTTCAATGGGAACACTCTTAAAGCGAGGAACAGACTTCTCTCCAGAACCAATATCTCAACGCATACTCACTTCAGGATTTAGTTTCTTTGTGCTTATCACCGTGGCAACTTACACCGCTAACATGGCGGCCTTCTTGACGACAAAAGATTTTGGAAAGACAGTCGATTCTTTTGAATCACTGGCAGATAACGATGACATTAGCTGCGGAACCGTCAAGAACTCAGCAACAAAACATTTTCTCCAAATGGGGACGAAACCTGTTTTTAAGCGATTGTGGAACAAAATGATATATTCTGATGGTCTTGTTGCCAATTCGTCTGAAGGAGAAAAGAAAGTGGCCAGTGGTAATTACGCTTTTGTATTTGATCATCTTATTAATTCGTACGCAGAAGGAGAATATTGTAATATGAAGGTCGTGGCCACGCCCATTTTAATGCAAGAACACGGGATTGGTATGAAAGAAGGGGCTCTCTTCAAAACCAGTATCAATATTGAATTGTTGAAATTAAAGGAGAATGGCCAGATACAAGACTGGAAGAAAAAGTAAGTGTAGGTTTTACAATTTACAAGTTTTAAGATAGAATGTCAAGAGTCTCTGCATATTTTATTAATACTCCGTTTAATTTTGAAGTCAAGCTGGTGGTTTACTCTGTATATTCCAGTCTGGTTTTTTCCTTGTTAGTAGGCGGAGACGCCAATGCCCGGGTTCTGTTCCCCACATCACAGTGCCTGGTGTATGCCCGTCTTTATTAGCCTCGTTTGTTCAGAAAAGTAAAACATAATTTCATTTTATTTCCGTCTCGTTTTATTTTCTGCCGTTTCGATTTCACACCATATTACTATGATCGGAAGGATATATCATCCTCGTAGTGGTCCGCCCCGGTTGCTAATTTCAATTATAATTTCTTTATAATTTTTAACGGCGTATGGTCAAATGGTCCAACAGGTGAATAGATTGCCGTTATGACCAATCTATTGCCGTTTTGACTAAAAGTTATGAGGTGATGAGGTGTAGGGCCGTTTCGTTTATAACCAATATAAACTAACCTGTACATTTAGCTAAAATCTTTTGATGTGCCTGTTTTAGATCTCACTGAATGTAATCTGGCAGATTATCTACCGTTCATATATATATATATATATGTTTCTTAATTAAATGCCCAGTAATCTATTAAATATATATATTTTTATGTGGATTAAGTCGTGAAAAATTAGATAGTATCCGAAAAATGCTAATGATGATCAACGACTTCAAGTCTTTCTTTGAATTTTATTTGTATATGGTTCAATAATATGGTCTTCAGCTTGGTAAGTCAACTATACAGGCATAATGGTGTTATATATTTTTGTATGCCCACATTAAAATTTTAAACGCGTTTCGTAGAATTATGTTTCTGTTCCAATTGCAACTGCGGATACCACTGGTCAATGATATTATCTGTGTGAGAAGTAAATTCGCGTGGCTGACGTCTTGTGTGTTAATCTTGAGAGAGAGAGAGAGAGAGAGAGAGAGAGAGAGGGGGAGAGAGAGAGAGAGAGAGAGTATTTCGGGACGATACAATAATTCGCTTTCGCGTAGGGGTTTTTAGCAGTCGGAGGAGGAAACCCAATGCCGGATTAAGGCACATTTTGATAGGTGGCCTGAAAATACAGATATTTTGTTTTGTAGGTGGTGGGAGGATAAAAGGAAATGCGACAAAGATGGTAGGAACAAGAAGAAGCCACGGGGTCAGTTTGGGGTTGCACACATGGCCGGTGTGTTTATTTTTGCGTTGTTTGGAATGGCTTGCGGAGTTGCCTTCTTTTTGTTTAAAAAATTCTATCTGTTAGCCAAACCAATATCTGTGGGTACAAAAGAAGAAAACAAGGAAGGGGAAGACGAAAATGGAGAAGGGGAAGAGGAAAGGGGGGGAAAGGAAGCAGAAGACGTAAGAATAGATGATGCATTCGATGAATCCCCTGGTCCATCTATAAAATATGAACAAGAGACCACAGTATCTGAGTAACTTAAATTATTACTGAAAGTGATCCATGATGTTTCAAAATCTGGGTAATAATGTGGATGGTAATCTATTCCTGTCATATAGGAGATACTCCAACCTGTGGGAAAAAATCCGAAACAAATGATTATTGCTTTTTTGTAAGAAGGTATGTACATAGTACTCCAAGAAAATATTCACTGCAATCCACCTGGGCCAATTTGTTTTATTTAAGTTATCCTCATTCTGATTAAATACATTATCAAATTGTAAGTAACCAATACACTCAATACCATAATTTTAAATATATTTAATACATATTATTAGCACAAACATTAAGATTTCCCATACTCGTCTTATGACTAACAGCTTGGGGTTAAATGTTAAAAATGTTTGAGATTCCATTATGGAGAAGACCATGGTCTCAAATGTTAAGGGAATGATTCGTGAATGTCGCGATGATGGATTTCTTGGTTCTGATACGGGTGGTTGAATTTGTAATAGAGATGATGATTGGTGTGGGTTGGTTTCCTATAAACTGAAGTTGTTTTTTCGGACAAGACATCTAGAAAGGGAAGACTGTTGTCTCTTTCTGTTCCCATGGTGAACTTATTTCATTATGCTGTCTAATAAACAGTAGGGTCGTAAGCATATTGACAACACCGTAGCAGACGAGCTTTCATTGATGTTTTTAACAATGTCTTCGGCTGTTTTGTAGTAGAGCACACATTTAACATGCCTTGGGTGCGTTTTGATGGTGGCAGACGGGTTGAGGTGTTTCGGGTTGGAATCTTTTGTTACCCGTTGATCGATCTTGAAGAGGGTTGCCAGTGCTGACCTAGTCAGGTGTATTTATTAATAGTGTATTACAACTGCCTTCTCTTTGTCCGCAGGTACTGTGGTGATGGTACTTTTCTCCGAGTGTTTCATGTTTTCTGTTGGTGTGGTTGTTAGATTGTTTTGGAGATTTGGGGATGATATTGCAGATTTCGTGAGAGGCTTCATGCTTTTTAGGTTTGGTTTTGGGTAAAAACTTGAGTTCGTGTGATAGTGGAGAGTTCGGGTTACCTGTGAGGAGGGTACGTTGGCTAAAATTGATAACAGTTTTGGTAAAATTCATTCTGAAAAGATTTTAGTAGGTGTTTGGTTGTTTAGTTGATCTTATCGGTTTGGATGTATAGTTTGGGTATTGGCATCGATCTGTTGCGAAGAATTTTATATGTGGAGGCGAGCTGGCGATGCTGAACTTCAGATAATCTGAACATACACTGTTTTTCTTTCCTTAATAATAACGACGAGAGAATCCTCTTTGAAACGTCGCCAGATTTATATAATTGTGTCATGTGACATGTTTGAAATGTTCTGTATGGGGTAATTCAAGGGGCAGTTAGAAAGACTGGTATACGTCCTCTTCTGGATCAGAATTGGATTCTTCTTTCCAGGGTTCATGATCAGAATCCTTAAGATCACCAAGAGATGCAGAGGCAATATCACGTCACGTTCGTGCTCGAGATAAAGAGCTATAGTGAGCGCGGTGAGAAAATTATTGTTGGGAAAGGTCCGACTTAAAGTTTGTACGCTCCGTATGGCAGTGCTACTTCACCACTGAAAATGCTTGGGCCGTTTATGATTCGTTGGGATATGTTAATGGTTTTCAGATACATTTTGTACGTTATTCATGTTGTAATGTACATTGGCTGTTTGGGTAGAGCAATTTGATTTCTGGATGGGGTACCCTGCCACTGAAAAAGTCTGGCCACTGTCATTCTTATGCTAAGCATGTCACGCAGTCAGTAAACGGGTCCATCTGTCTTTGGTGTGGGGCAATTCGGAACGTTTGTAGGTTTACCCAAGAATACCGAATGTAATAGAAGTATTATGTTAGTATTTCACACCAATGAGGTAGTATTTGGTAGGGTTTGGTTAGTATTGGCTGGTGTTGTGTAGTATTTGGCAAATCGTCATGCCTGGCGGTAAATCCGTACCTCTGAAAATCTCTGGCGGTGGTCATTCTTGATAGATGGGAATATGCTGAACATTTCCTGTGGTTATTAAATGAGTTAGTGGGTGGATTGGGGTAATTAGGGACACCTGGCTAGTTTACCCCACCACTGAAAATATCTAGCAGTTGTCACTGTGAAATGTTGAACACTGTGCAACAAATTCCACGCAGTAAGTAAATGCGTTGATTTAGCTTAGTTTTTAGGGGTGGGGCAATCATGGACGTCGTGACATTTAAACTTTCTTAACATGGGAATTTACCCAGATCTGACGATAATGATTTTGTCGATGGTTTAATAGCGGGAAAACATTGTGATGCACATATATATTCCCAGCATGCCGAAAAATGTGACCAGAAATGAGAAAAAATTCTACAAAGGTCAACTTTAGATGATGGATGGATACGAAAACCAGAAGGCCTGTAACGTTTTTGCCCAAAGTCGATTTTAATTTGATTTTTTCATAAAAAGCAAGAATCACTTGTTTCGGAATTTTTTTCACAGCTCACGTAAATCCGAAGTTCTCCTACCAGCCTAATACCAAACTGTTTGAGAAACTATTTTAATTGCAGGTGAACCTTTTGATTATATTGTCATACCGTATAAATATTACTATAGTAAATTAATAGCCATTGTCATTGTTTTTTCATGAAGATTGTTATACGTATATGAAGTGTAGATAATGCTTAAAATCTTATGCGGTTTTTTTTCATACTTTATCTTCAAAATTAGTTATGCATAAATACATAATATATGTAGCATGGATTTAAGGTTAATATATATATATACTGGCAAAAATCACCAGTATTGTTGTAAACCATTAAAACCATAAACGAATAAACATAAAGCCAACACGACATTTTAAAGGAAGACTATTGTAATTCCTCGGCCGGTAAGGCTTAAGTAAATTCGTGACATGAAATATTGAAACCTTGCGCGAAAATTTTGTCACTTCCTTTGACCCCCATTAAATGTTTTTTTTATCAGATGTTAGGCTCTTTGTGATTAAGGATTAAGATCAACGGAATGTTAAGAATGTGTTTTAGGCCAAGAAATGTCATGGATTTAATGTATTTATTCGAAAAGACTTTCTATTATAAATGAAAATGAAATGAAATGGGGTTTAACGTCCTACTGTTCTGCTCCTAACCTGGGCTAATGAAGACGGGCATACGCCATACAGTATGCTATGAGGGAAATTTTGCCCGGGCGGCGGCGCTACGGCCTTCTCTTATATCGAATTCCAACTGCCAAGGGATCTTTTACGTGCACACCAATGTGTACACGGGATCTCGGTTTTTCGTCCCGTCCGAACGACTAGACAGCTGTCCTTGTCAGGCCCTCCATCCTGCATCACTGACAAGGGGAAACCACACCGGAAAATCTGAATGAACTTTCTCGGCCAATGCAGGGATCGACCACCCGACCTCCAGACTAGCGAGCCAGCGTCTTACCCACTTAGCCACGTGATCCCCCTTTCTATTATAAACAAAGGTATAACACTGAACTTTAATAAAATAATACATAGTAGCCAAATTTATTACACTGTGTATAAATTAATTCTCCTTTGATTCCATTTTGGTGAGTGAGATCGGTCGTATACCAGGTCGTTGTTCAATTTTTACGGAAAATATAGAATCCCTAACATTCTCTCTGTAAAGATCCTAACCCGAACCTAGAACTTCCTTTCTTCACAGGCATGTCCGTGGCTTTCCAAGTTTCTTTTCGAGAACAAATGCCGGGATCACAAACAACAATGCATATATCAGCTAGTGGTAACATTCCACTGCGCTGTACAGTGCTGGGTCTGTAGTGATACAGACACAATCTGATTAAAACACACATCCTATCTCGTTTTGTTTTTTATAATTCAAAATTTCGTTTTACTTGTATTTACTTCACTAGTACTGGAAGAGGTATTGTATAACCCGCGTTCTGGTTGATGTGCGGGATTAGTCAATGAAACGGTCTGTTGCTGCAAGTGGGTATCCTACTAGAAACATCAACGCTGATTGGTTAATAAAATGTCTGACGTCTTAGGGTCAAAAGCCGCTCGTATGACCCCTAACGCAACCTCCCACTAGAACCGGTCAGATGTTCATGTAGTGGAGGCCATCGAAAGTATAAAAAAAATCCGAAACGAGATATAGATCTGTATTTTATTAATCACATTGGTTACAGACTTCTCTTAAAATGAAAAACAAATTAGCAACCCAAGAAAAACGGGACTATGTAGTTCGTTATTTATAGCATCCCCCCATCCCCATTTTGCATTGCAATATCTGATGACCCTTTCGTCTATAATCGAAGAAGGGTGTTTGAATTTATATTGTCTACCAAGTTTTGGTGAATATTACATGATTTGGGACATGAGGGTTCTAAAGGTAAACAATCATGAATTAGAGAATACGTGATAATCCTATAGATGCACTTTATAGGGCGTAGACATGTGGCGCTATTTGTGGTTATAAAGATTTAGATAATGGGGGGTGTTAAAACAAAATGTTATAGGTCAAGGAATGGTATGGATTTATCGTTGATGTCATCGGGAAGAGGATTGTGGTGGCAGACCACCATTAAATTTCACCCTCTCGGTAACCACAAATTGTAGTTCGTCTATTTATAGCAATTCCCCCGCCCTCTCTCTTTTCTACCCTTTTGCATGTCCATTTTTATTGATTTTTGGTCTAGAATGCACGAAGAGGGTTTGAATTAATATTTTCTGCCAGGTTTTGGCAAATATTCATTATTTAGAGGCGGAAGGATAACAGAGTTAACAGGTTGGTTACGGGGATATGTACGGCGAACAGTTACATGTTGTGTATCTCAAGATTTGGTGGTCAAACTCTTTCAAATTTTGGTGCAAAGACATGACCATTTGTTTCTCTGTCTGTTGTCAAAAAGTTGGGGAAAAGTTGGAGCCGAGAAAAGAGATTGATGTCATTGGGGGAAATTAATGGTGGTCTGCCTCCTGCATACTCGTGTTACAGAGTTAGACAGAAAAGGGTAGTTATGTCCCTTTGGTCGTTTCTCGTATAACCGCTGAGCACTGTGTGGACTGGAACTTGCTAACGTAAATTGACTTGATGATAAGGAGCTTTACGTCGATTATCCACTATAGAGAGAGAGAGCAATGGGGTTTAACGTCCACTCAACACAAACTAGGTCATTTCGGGACTAACATATGGTTTAATTTTATTTCAATAATTCGCTTGCGCGTAGGGGTCTTTAGCAGTGGGAGGGAACCGGAGGACCCAGAGAAAACCCACGAGGTTGGATTCCACTATAGAGTAATACATTTGGCCCAAGGAATATAATTGAGTGGCTGTTTCTTTTTAGTAAAATTGCTGTTATTTTTTCTATAAAATCCAGAAACAAAAAAGAAAAATATACATCTATAACAAGGGTATACAAATACAACATGTTCCGGTGCCTACTTTGATCCACAATTTCGGCCATGTTGGCAGGACTAAATATTCGCGCGGATCTTCGAATAAAAAAGCTAATGAATGATCTCCAATATTGACTATTTCACCCTAGAACCGTGGTGCCGTCATCTGAAGTTTCCCTGTAAGTCAGCAATTTCTCTAAAACAATTTGCTGAATGTTCCAGTATATTTTTATACATAAAATTTATTTTTGACATAGTTTTGAACGTTTTAAATGGTTATATAAACTCAGAAATGTTCTTTTGGCAGTTTCATGCGAACTACAATATTCACCGTAACGTTAGCTGTATTAGGTTGGCTGAATATGACTTTGGGATATACAATTTTCTTATTTTCATTCATGAATTCCATGTCATGTCATATAAGATTTTATAAAAAAAATAAGGACCCGAGCACACCAAGGTTTATTTGTCGGCGATTTTTCCAGCATCCACCAGTAATCGTTTATCTGTGCTGATTATACAGCCTGACAGATTGCCCCAGTGTGCGCTACTGGGGTTGTTAAAATATTATGTCTCCAAATGCGCGCTTTTATAATTTATAATATTTTTATATAAACTATTCATTGTAGTGTACAGGTGAATATTTAAATGAATATCGCGAATTAACCATAAAGGCAATGGGGAATTCTCGTACACAACATACCATCGGTGACGATAGAACATTGGTATGGTGTGCGCGAACGACACATTGTCGACGACGATAAATCGGGTTGTCGGCGACGAATAATTCTCGGTAGGCCTATCAACCGGCGTTCAGTTTCTACTCTGTCCGCATTTCATCCTTGTCTTATTACATTGATGTTGATGTTCATTAGGTGAATGTCTTGACTGAGTTCAATGATTGACATTTCGAGCTAAAGCTAAGCAAAGCTAATCAATTTCATTGGTCGATGCTTTGGGACAAGATAACTTTGATTCTATCTGATAGAAAGTGATGAAACTTAGTGTATAGTTGATAATCAGTTTGATACTTTTGAAAAATATAAATGTGCGATTAATCAATATGTGTTACCTATTTATTTTGGGATTCGGCGGGGGCATCAGCTCCACTGTTTTATCATATTTCTACGTTAGGTTCTCCTAATCAAATCTGATAGATTGTGATTTCATTGGGGTTGGATGGCCGAATGGTCTAACACGCTGTTCGTGACCAGGAGTTGAGTCGCCTAACCCCGACTCTCTCTCTCTCTCTCTCTCTAGAAACGACGTGTGACTAGAGGTGAGAAATAAACAAAACAGAGCGATTCAACCATTTTCCATCTTTTTAAACTAACTTGCAATTTTGAGAGTTATGATTATTAGAGATGAGATTAATTTCAAATTCAATTTTAATTCCAAAACTACATTTCTATACGGGTTTAGAAACTAATAGGCTATTTGTTTTTATATCTAAAGTTCATAATTTAGTTTAGTGGGTTAATGAACACGATTAATTTGACATTCACTTACCTCATTCTTGAAACGGGACCAGGTGCTTGTAAAAATCGTATCAATGTCGTATCAATAGATATATATGATCATGTCAACATTAAGCAGCCATACGATGTTGTTTGTTTAGTTCAGCATCATTTAAAGAACACTGACTTTTACATGCCATTAATATATGAAACTCGTGTTATACACATAATCAATGGTCAGTGACACATTCTTCTATTTACACGAATGGAAAATTACTTAGTTTGTCTGCGATATCACCTCTGTAGAAGCGGACGTTAAATAAAGCTATTTCACACACACTTAGTTTGACCGAACTGGGAATCAAATTAATATTGTTCGGGCATATTTTATTTTTCTCCATATAATCAGTTGGTAGTTTCTTTATTTACACCGAATGTGTACCAGTGTAAAGTATTCCAAACCATCTAAAATCTAATTTTTAAATATTAAGTTTATAGGGGATCTACCATGAAAGCAAATATGTTTTCAGTATGGGACCAACGCCACTATCTTTTCATCATTTAACGTGAAACAAAGTAGTGCAGCTTTGCGGTTGTGCTAATAATTTTGGATATATATATATATATATATATATATATAGTAGAATAGTTAATTAAAGCTGCTCTTTGGTAATATATAATTGAAATTAAAGATGGCAAAATAAAACTACATTTATATATATATATATCGTTTTGACTTCTGTATTGATTAGATAAGTATATAATTTACAAGATATCGCAATACCCCTATAATTATTAGGATTCGATTTGTCTCCTTATTTATGAAGTGAAGCGATAAATGTTACCCTCCATGAATCGGAATATATTGACGTAGAAAGTTTTCATTAAATAATTTAGTTATAATGAAATAATTTAGTTATAATGAAAGGAACAACAACAGGGTAGTGAATTGGCCATTTCTCGATTTTTGAAAAAAATATATTTCCTGTGTAATCATATGATCAAATTGGTTGGACTTTATTTTAAACTTATCTGTTGATTCTTGTTGAGTAGGCGTACTAGTTTATTACTTATTTTTTTAGGCAGAACCCATTGTGTAAAAATGTCAATCTGTTCTTGAAATATTTTTCATTTTATTTGACTTTTTGACATAGCCTCTGGGTGATTTTCATATTTACAAAGCTAAAATAAATATCATTGTTATGATTGTTTGAATTATGGTCTGTTTATATAAGTGTTCATTATTATTTATCTAACCTTATGCATGGACGGGATAGTTATAAATTAAATTGCACCATTTATAAGTCAGACAAAATGTATTATATTTGTACACACATACAAAAAGAGTGGCCTAAAATGCTCGCCCTGCTGCATAAGACCATTATTCATAACGTTTCTTGGTGACGTTATCAGATCAAGACGTCGATCAGCGATGAATTGTTTGTATGTAATGAATTAATGTTTTTCTCCGTTTATTTTCTTTTCTCCATACGCTAAAGTCATTTGTCAATAGCGTATAGGTTCGGGGTATTAGTTTACCTTGATAAAAATCATATAATAATACATTACCGTTATACATTTCACAGAACTAGCTCACGCACTGTTCAAGATCGCATCCAAAACGTGGAATTTACATTGCGGATCGTGACACAATTGTTTTATGGGTGTATTTTTGTTTTTTTTATGAGATAAAATTTGCTGTATTATCAGTTTGTTACCCACTCCTGAAATATAATTTTTTCTACATTTTCTCTGACGTTGTTTTAGATGATAAATCATTTATTGTACAAGGACGAAGATATTTTCTCTGTGAAACAATACAAGCTAATACTTTTATTATGCCAGTCATTGGGGTTAGAAGAAATCGTTTCATATTCTGTGTACCAGTCGTCTTAGACATCTCGTTATTGGCATCATGGCACGGTAATTTCTACCAAGGCAGAGGTATATTAATGAATTAAATGTTAACATGTACTATCCTTGTCGTGAACAAGTTCAAGATGTTGGAATAAATTTACCAATACGAATATACCTGACAATATATAAAATCTACTACTATCTAAATAAAATTCCACTTTGTTAACTTTATAATCTTATTCTCTTCTTCTGTTTCTTATATACCATTTTGTTATCTTTCCATGTAACTTTTAACATTGATCCTACCTTATATATTGACGAAGCCAAATCTGTGTTTTCAAAGAAGATATTTACCAGGTTCTACAGTGTTCTAAATATTTATTATGTATGAACATGTACTAATATCAAAGAATAGCAGAACTTTACACTGTATAAAGATTTACTATTTAACATTAAAAGAGCCATGAGTAAGTTTGGTTAAATTATTGAAGTGTGCCTTAAGATATCTCAATAAGAACAATCCTCAAAACAAAATCGCTTGTGTGTCGAATATCTTTCTTCTGAAAAATAAGACAACATAATTTGCTGGCCCCAAAAATAATCGATCCCCCGTTGTGAATATGCTACATTTGTTCAAACTTCGAAACTCACCAAATCCATGTGTTATAATTAGATCATTTGCCTGTAATAGTACCATTAAAAATATTGTTAAATTTTAATGTCATCGAAATGATAAAGGAGTTGTCATGTCAAATATGATATAATTATAAAAACATAATGTGATATATTTATGATAATATTGTATTTAGGTACTTAACATAAACATTACCATGGTCTTGTTAATTCCTTCTTAGTAGGGGCATAGCACCCTGCTAATTATACTCACGTGTTAAGTGTGATACACCAACAGGAATCGCTATGGTATTCTTTCTGACACCTATAATTCGACACATCCTTATGGTTGATCGTTATAGATTTGTATCTATTTCTTTTTAAACAGAACACATTATTTATTTATTTTCTTTTATTTATTCTTCAAGTAAAGGTTACAACATGACAACAATAAATAAATATATATATATGCATATGAAGTAAGAACTATGTGCGGCATCGTATTGGATTTGTTAATAACAATTATTCTTTAGTTTATTGCATGAGGAGCTAAATAAAATAATTTTATTGATATAGCAATAACGCTAGTAAAACCCATTTCTATTCTATTCCCTCCTTGTCCTAACAATGTTGTGTTTTTATATTCACTATATTATACCTATATTATATCTATTATGTTTGTTCATATTGACACATTTTATACACAGGGGCCCTGTATCATACCTATTATTTTTGTTCAAATGACCACTTTTTAAGTCCATTTACCCTATAGCATATCTATTTCTGTTTAAATTACCATTTTTTTTAATATTCACTGGGCCTATATAATATCTAAATGTAATTTTTGTTCAGTTACCATCCCTTATATTCACTAAAGGCATGTATCATTTTTATTCGAATTATCCCTTTTAGAAAAGGGTTTTGTCAATAAAATCTTAGGATATACATGTCTTTATTTTTATTCTTTACTAGAGTTGTTTTTTTAAAAAAATATTTGCATTTTAAAACTTGTATTCTTTGTCTTTGTTTTAGTGAATTCTGGTAATGAAATTATTCTTAACTGATGGTTTTTGGGGTTGTTTTTTTTTTTTGGGGGGGGGGGGGGGGGCGGTGATAAATTTAATAAAAGGAATTCTTATTTTAATGAGAAATAAATCTTTATTCGAAGTTTCAATGGATATATTCTTCTTCCACATTCTAAAAACATGCCCATATTTTTTTACTCTATTTTTATAGTTTCATTGGTCTCGAGTAAATATTAGAGTCTTATTCGTAATAATATATAGCTAAATTTGAACATTTCTAGTACAAAGGAAAATATTCAGACATATACAGAAGTATTATTTGGGCTATTGACTAATTGAAATAATATGATTATGGTAAAATTACAGAATATTATAATTTATGTCGATAAATTTTTATAACTTCCTTAGGTTAATTTCTCCCTTGCTTCTGTGTGTTAACATATTTACTATTATGTCGAAGACATGCTGTCTACAAATTTTAAGTGAAGAAAAATTTGTAATTTGTGGCGTTTAATCTTGTAAAAGAAAGAAAAGAAGGGTTATGAACGATTTTAACACACGTATTGATGAAAGACCGCTACATCCTATACCCAACATGTATATGGTGCATTTATTTTTAGTGCTGGTATCGTCGCTATCCCTGTTTTACTTGGATGTAGAATAGCCGATCAGTAATCTTAATATGTTACAAACAAGCTTCTAATTCCAATAAGTTATACTCTAGCAGTCAATTGTTTTTAATATAACCGGACGTTTTCGTTATATAAAAATATTTGTCCTTCAGATAAATATCAAACCAAACGTTTATTTGTTTAAAGCCACAATGCGCTTGACGGCCAACACTCATAGAAATAAAGACTCCAGCTGGTTCTTTAGATACTAATCTAGACAATTAAAACCAAAAAAACCTACTTTACATTTTGGTCACAATATTTGTGGATTTAAATGAATTAACGTTCTGGTCTCGGCTAACTATCTAAGAGGAAATTCAATAGAAAGTAATTGGTAGGTGATCATACTTCCGTTATGAGTGATCGATATAGACCAACACTGATATTTGATAAGTGTATTTATTATTGTGTACGACCTGGAAGACTCTGGAAGTCTATATTCATGCCTTTTAGTTTAGAATATTGTGCCTTTAAATAAAATATTGATATCATAATTAGAATATGAAATGTTAAACATACATTATGCAAGAGCTAAATCTGCCTATTGCAGGTCTTTCTTTAGGTCTGAAATGTTATTAATTAGACATTAATTAACTTATCCAGACCATAATCAACTCTCGATGTCAACGCTAGCCTGCGATATTTGCTTGATTAGGATCCGAATTGTTGATTTAATATGAAGTGGATAATCGAGACTAATGATGATCGAGACTAGGTCGAAAATTCAATCGGTAAAATCTCGGTTCAGAGTGGATCAATTTGACTGAAATTTTCAGCAAATTCCCTTTACATTGTCTAGTTGTTAACTACATGTATTATAGTGAGAACTGCCAACCTGTCACCTATCTTACCAGCCCCGATATATATTTAGATAATTTAAAATCTAGATATGAATACACACAGCAACACCACTGTACAATAAAAACCCTTACGTGATTGGTATAAGCACACATGATTCAATGTCAGTAACAATTACCTTTAATGAATAATAATAATAATAATCGTTTTCTATAGTGCCGAATATTCAGTCGGGAAAGCAATAAAAAATACAGTAAGTTTTGCTAAACATATGAATAAAAGCTATTAAGTTTAGCACGAAGACGTTTTAAAATTTAGAAACTGGTTAAAGAAGATGACTGTGAATCAATGTGTGAAAATAACATTTTTTGTTTTAGGTTAAGGTGATAATTTGCCACACGACCCGCGTCGAAAACTATGTTCAACATACAGACTGTCGAGAAGAAAGACAGAATATCAGGCCTTCATGTTTTTGAACATTTCATACTCCATTTAGCTAAACATTATTTGTCTTAAAGTGTGTCTTTTATCTTTTTTTATTGTAAAGGGAGCGATGAAAAATCACGAATGTTCCATATGTCTCTGTCATATTTATAAAATGCCCACAGTATATTATCCTCTAGAATTCAAAACACGTAATCTTTACATCGCAAAAGTATGAATAATTCCTCTTTTCAGATATTTGTATTAGAATTAATGCGAATTTGAAATAGAAACGCACGCATAAATTATGTGTTGAAGTCCATACTTTGAGGTTCATCATACCCTCCAAAACCAAATCTGTAAGAAATCAGAAGAAAATACATACATTCATAAACCTGACAAATAACTTATGACGCAAGGAAAATGAATGTTTAATTTTATGAAAATTGAATTTAGATCACAAAAATTACTAATAGCTTTGTGATTGTTTTCAACATGTTATAAATTCATTATTTTTAAAAAGACACTCAAATGATTGACTCTATTGCTTACTTTCTGCTACCTCATTGTTTGGGGGAGGGGGGTCGTGCTATACAAATTGTTGATGAAAACCCACATATTGACTACAATCGAAAATTTAACCCCTGCATGATCTAGATAATAATAACCGATAATTCTGTCTGCCAATAATACCTACAATGTTCGCAGTGTGAGTAATTTGACATATTTAAAATATTCTCAAATTTATTGTTTGTTTTATGTGATCTAAATTTATTTTCAAAATTATAAATATGATGTTAAATCATTACTTTCTTTGTGTATATACATTAATTGAAAAATTAAAATTAAAGGGACGCATGCCTTAAAAATAGCCAAACCTTTACAAATTAAAATGCTGAGCTGGTGTGTTAATTTGATCAGTTATATTTCACACTGTCTAAATGTAGACCGATATCCACTTCACAAAACATATCAAACCAAACGCAAATAAATCGACAATTTTATGTTTTCCACCAAACCTAAGAGGTCTAGTCATTTTAACTAGGAATATATAACATATTATATGTTTGCAGGAAAATAGTTTTAAAACAAGCAATAATGTAAATATGATATTATCTCACGGGGTATTGATGATATCAGTGGTGATAATTCCAACGTTTTCTACCTATATTATCATATTATCCAATTTAGTATTTTAATAAATATTGTTCTATATCAACTCAGATATTTTCAAAATCATGATGAAACTTCGGCTGACGTGTGCCAGTTCTGGCACTGAAGACTAATCAGGAAAGGCGTTACATTCAAAGAGGGGGTTAGTGGGTGGAGCTAAGAATAATTTGACAGGCTGTCATAGGAATGGTAGAACTCGTGCCTCAAGAGGCTCGTCTGATAAGGCCCATTGAAAACATACACATTATCAGAAAGCATTAACATTTGGCAAGTTTGGGCAACATGGATGTTAGTGGTTCCATAGCTTCTCGGGGTAACCCTTTTGGGATAGCGAATATTATGGCAGCCTCAGGAAGTGACAGTAATTACTCTACGGGTTTTGGATATTCACCTCTATCTGCATCCAGGCCATCGGATCGGTTCTTTGATTGGAATCAGAATTCGTCATTTGTACCCATGCCTGCTATGGAAGGTAAGAAGCTATGTGTCTCTGTACAAAATAAGAGATCCTATAATTATATAAGAAACATATTTATATGAGAGTATGTTTATTTAGAATGGTTCTGATATTAAATTATGATAAGCTCGGTAAATCATTGCAGCCCATGATGACAGTATTTCTGCGTGATATTAAGGCGCTTCAAAACTAAAATATTTGAATTTAATTTATCCCGAAAGACGTCCAATTCCGCGGGATTGGATCATCAATATCATCTGCATATGAACGGAATGTCCACTCTGCATTTCCTCGTAACTGTCATTTATTGTCCCGGAACTTCTATTGGAACCAACATCGAAAATAACATTTTTGAAAAACAGATAAATGAAGTCCTGTAAATATGATCGATTCTGGCGGGAAGCTTCATCCAATATTTTGATCAATCAACTATCAATCGGTACTAACTGGTAATGAAATTCTATTGACAAATTCGACAAAATCGAGCAACAGCAATTGGGATGTAGAAATGTGATAAAATTTCTAACCGGTATATTAGTGTATATAAACTGGGTAGTGATATGATGCCATTATGCAGAACAGAAGGTTATTCAGAATAGCTTTCATTCATAAAACACATGGCTATTATCGCGGAACATTTTCGTTTTAAAAAAAATCAAAAGCCATGTTGGTTCATATCTCTTGAAGCTCGTATATTTGATTAATTGCCTCCTATATATTTAGTATCGTATTTCTCTATAAACAGACCAGATATGTTTTTCTGGTTGAAATTTAAGTCAATTTTAGATAATAATATTGTATTTAATCAATATTTCGTATACTGTTATATCAAAAATTATGATATGCATTTATGATCTAAGTGCATTTATATCCTGTAATAGTAATGTTTTTGATATTTGAAATGAGAGATTAAAAATGATTTGGGAGGGGGGGTATTGTATTCTTTTGTCTAATAATATTGCATTTTACAATCCTAACAAAATACAACCGTTATTATAATTTTTGATTATTTAAGTCTACTTCCATTTTATCAATTTATTCTTCTTTCAGCGTGTTTACGGAATTCAAGTACAAGTCGAATGTTCTTTGATACGATACGTTACGACCAAACGGCGGAGTACAACTCTAGTTGTCGCGGCCCAGAAGCACCAGAAGGCATTAAAGGGGACCCAAACGATACTCAAGTAAACCCCGGTGTAGGGGATTGTGAGAAACTTTCAAACGCTTGCGAAGGTCCCAAGAAACCCATTCACCCTAAATTGATGAACGTGGCAGCTCATCTTGAAATGAAATCTCTCTGGGACGAATTTAATGAACTGGGAACAGAGATGATAGTAACAAAAGCTGGAAGGTAAGAATTAATCATAATTAAAGCAATTTCTCTTGGCTAACTCTATCCCATATAGCTAATAAAATAACCGTTTTTGTTTTTATTCAATGTTTAAAATCAAAAACCCAATTGTGATTACGCAGGACTGTGTCTAATAAAAGTCAAATATATATCTTGACATTGTGAATAGACATATTATTACAAATGCGGTATAATGCTTCATATTGTCAGTATTGTTAGTTATAATTCAGTAGAATAAATCACCATTTACAGGTGTAGCGGAATAATTCCTCGAATTTCTCTTTGATGAAACGTTTTTTTTATTTCCGATAATATTTGAATTTCTGAAAATGATTTCCTGATATCTAAAAAAAACAACAAAAAACAAAATATAGAATAAAGACATATCTTAAATGTATTTATTTAAAAATATTGTCTGTGGTGAGCATTGAAACATTCAGTGAATTTGTGAAGAATTTGAAAACAATTAAAAAGCGCAATAAATAGAAACAGTGTTTTCAATACATCTTGTGGAAATAAGATTTGGATAAATATATATAGACTGCTCAAAATAGAAGACGAATTTTATTTTATTTTAACTTTAAGCTGCCCTTATTATAATGAATTGCGTCATCAATTCATCAAACCATAGTTTTTACGGAAACCTAATATATTTAAATTAATTCAATTATTAAGTACAACTACAACATCCGAACTACGGAACTTGGCCGAATTTCTCATTTCTGCAGATAAGAAAAGAACCACTCTATATATTAATAATAAAATTTGCTACATTACCTGAGCTAACTAGAATGTAACCTCCCTTTGATTTGACTGTTACAAGGTCATTACTATTGTAAGAACTCAGCTCATTTTCCTCGTTTTAAAGACATGTTAGAAAATCGGAAGGAAAACAAAATTAACGGATGATTTTATGAAGTTTATAATATTTACTGATTCTTTCCGTCATGTTTAAATTTTGTATCCTATTTAGGCTAGCAATTTAACACAATTTATTTACACCCCACCCCAAACTTTTTTGTTTGTATTTAATTGCCATGTATATAGTGTGTTTGTGTAATTATAATGTTTGTATTTACTTGCCATGTATATATTGTTTGTATGTAACTATAATGTTTGTGTATATATGTTATCTGATGAGTCAGTAGACTTAAAAAAAAATAAAGAATTGAAAATTAATTTGACATTAGGTATAAGCACCGATAGGATTAATCTATCGGCAAAATCGGAAGAGAAAATGGATGAAAACTTCCGTATAGACAAAGCGATGGATAGGAAGTATTAATTTTATATAATTTATGTTACGTGGGCCGTTTCACTTTTCTGCTCACTTGAAGCATAAAATTTAAGCAACGCGTATACCTAATTTGAAAAACATTCTCTTACCAGGCTGAAGTTTACAAAACATCGACAACAAACACATAACTAGAATTATTCTACCGATAACTTCAATCTCGCTCAGCTTTTGTTTTTCTTTCTACGACCTTTTTTTCACTTCCATTCTCAACTTCACCCAAGAAAGCAATGCAAATATATAAGTACGAGGTATTTCTTTTGGATGTACATTTCCTTCGGCTATGCTGTTTTCTATTTAATATTTATTCATCAGTGTTTTCTAGCCCGCAAGGCGACGCAATGTTTTGAAAAGCTCCTAAGTAAGTCGCACGTAAGAACCATCGCCCCGAGCTCAAAGCGTTTTAACAGGCATTCGGTCGTTCCGGGTCGATTTCAACGGTTTCCATGTTACATAGCAGCCGCGGAGAAATTTACAGTTATTCTTATGTAAATAAATAATATTTCTGCTTATACCAAAAAATAAACAAATAATACACGGAAAATGGTAATCACTTTGTGTTTAAGAAAACCTCAGAAAGCTAGAGAAATGATTTAAGATTGACACAGAACACATTACAGAAGCTTTACACCTCTTTTTCTCAATATTATCACCATGGATAGAAGCATTAACAGTCGAATAAATTGTATAGAAAATAATAAAGAAAACATAGATAATGTAATTATAATAAGTCTACGAGGCAGATTTACATTACTCAAAATAAAATTGACAAATCCTTTACATGTTTTTGATGTATATTAAAGAAAAAATAAAAACGATATTTTCTTGGGTCCTTTTTTCTTCAAGTTTTCAAAGAGGATTATCTTTATTTAGGAAAACAGTTACCGGAATAAATATTATTTTCTCATAAAATGGCATCAAACATTTAGTGCGCAAAAAAAAATATTTAAAAATATTATATCTTTACTTTTGCAATTATAAATAAATATAGGACAGACAAACAGAAATGGAGTTTAACATCCACTCGAAACATACTAGATCATTTCGGGACTTATTTATATATAAGAATCTACCTCCATATCAATATTAGAATATAAAATTCTAGAAGGTTTCTGAATATTAATGATTTTGAAAAACACAAAATGACACAATTTTGATTGATTTAATTATTAAAATTAGATTTGAAAATATACATAAATAATCATCTTATGATTCTTGAGGTCGCGGAATACTAAAATAATATGATATCATTCGGTATAGGAATTGATGGTTTAATAATATAATGTACATATTGACTATAGAGATGTGGTGTGGTTTACGATTTTTATTTGGCTATATGAATAATTTAATATTTTTTATCAAGAAAATATCAGGTTTTGATTTTCGCATTTTATGATAACCTTAATTGAGACCATATTTTGAGCCAAGACAAGCGATTAATTGGGGTCGTACCGCCTCATCATTGCTGTACTTCTAGATGATTACATACGTCATGTCACACGAGTCCAATAACAGAATTTATAGCCCTCTAGAGAAGTAATTATCACCCCATGGTCCCGATAGAGACGTGGTATGTAGGGTCGGTCGCTTGTAATACATAACCACCAACATGTAGATAACATATTACATATATTATTACACGCTTACGTCTTTACTTACACTTTTATCTACCGTAATCATTATACCACTACACTTGTGTCATAAAGTAAAGTTAGTAGATCTTATTGTTGGTATCTGCTATACTTCAAGGATTTTGCTACCGAAAATAAGAAGACGACAGCTTATTCGTGCCAATGTGCTATTTGTTCGTAAATATAAATCTTTATTTATTCTCCCATTTTTGTGCTACCTGGTTTCGGGACACGGGCAATCCATTACTCTAAAGATTTTTTTTGCAAAGTGAAAAGATTCCTACCCAACAATTGAATAAGATTTGTTGATTGTTTTATCACCAACATAGTTCAATGAATAATACTAGTTTAGTAGATATGAATTTATACTTCATTTTATTAATTTCAACATGTCCCTACTACTCTTTAAAGTTACCAACTAAACAGTAACATTATTTACATGTATTTACAAAGTGTTTACATATCTGTACGAAATTTATATATGAAAAGAAGAAGCTTATTGAATTTCAGCAATTTTCAATAATTACTTCTAGAATTATGGCCCTTATTTAAATTTGTTGAACCTTGTGAACGCTCGAATGACGGAAGTTATTATCCGATAGCGAAACGAAGAAGCCATCCGAATTGGGTGCAGGCTGTTTCGTAACCTGGCTGTTTCGTACTTAGTTCATTCGTACCTCACTTCGTACCTCAAATTGATTCGTACATTTTCCTATGTTGTTGAAATCAGTTGAAAGAAATTGAAAATGCCGAACCAGAATTAGAATATGCACGAGATTTGTACCTCAAATTGATTAGTTTCTTTTCCTAAATCCAAAGGCTGCGCTAAATTTATAAAAATGAACGAGAATTAGAATACACACGTGATTTGTACCTCAAACTGATTCGTACCTTTTCCTATATGTTGTTGAAATGAATTGAAAGAAATTAAAATAAATCTATATGTTGTTGAAATAAATTGAAATAATAAACGATTACCTGCCTTTCTTTTAAATCTGATGTTGATTATCGAACCCATTCTGCTCAGTGAGTTGTGATTTTTGACGACAGTTGATGGGTGATTGTTAAAGCAGTTTAAAAAACGATTGAAAAGTATTTAATCTGGGGTTGATTATTGAACCCATTCTGCTGAGTGAGTTGTGATTTGTGTTTATTGACGATAATTGTTAAAGCGATTAAAAACGATTGAATATACTAAGAATTCCAAAATCAATTTAACTCATTGTAAGTTGAAACTGCATGCTTTCTGATATGGTTGGGTTATTTGTGCCTAGAAACAGAACGCAGCAATTAAGTCTCCAAAAGGTGCCTACGTGTGAAGATGGGCGTAAGCGTTTCTTTAATCTGTTATATCATGGACCGTATATATAAATTTAGCGTAGCCGTTGGATTTGATCAAATCGTTTCACCTTTATTTCAATTTCTTTTAACTGATTTCAACAACATAGAAAAGGATACGAATCAATTTGAGGTACGAAGTGAAGTACGAAACGGCTCATGTGAGTACGAATGAACTAAGTACGAAACAGCCAGGTTACGAAACAGCTGACACCCGTTGAATTTCAGCAATTTCCAATAATTTCTTCTAGCGTTATAGTCCTTGTTTTACTTTGTTGAGCCCTGTGAACGTTCGAATAACCATAGTTATCATCCGATCTCTAAGAAATTTATATTGAAATTAATAAAAGGAAAAAGCCTGTCGAATTTCAACAATTTCTGTAAATAAGACGTACTTCCAGAGTTAAGGAACTCTTGTGAACCCTCAAAAGTTATACCCCATTTCATTTCATTTCATTTATTAGAGAGTGTATTTACTTCGATGTATATTTAAACATAAACAAAATGACATGATAAATCAAATCAGATGTGGTTCATCACCGGTACATGTTTTGTGTAATATATATTGTGTAATTATAATTATTCCTGATAATTACTTAAAGTCTTGTGAATGTTCCCATTACCTACAAAACGATAAATATACGACAACTCTTAAACTTCATCTGAATGTTACTAGTGTAAATTTTTAGATTCTTATTTTCGATTTCTGGACAGACCATTCGAAATGTTGGCTCCAAATTATGCCAGTATTTTATAATATTTATGCTTCAGAAAGAAAGTAAATATTGGTCTCCATATTATAAAAAAAATCACAGTTTGATAGATAAAATAAAAAAACTCGGGACTTGTTTCCTCTCTGCCAACTGTGATTTGACACCTACAGCGAGTTTGGTGATGAAAACATCACTGACACGTGAAACAGCGCGGAACGATATTGCCAATCAAGTGAAACGACCACTCAGAATGAACGTTATTTATTTTTAAAGAAAATAGTTCTATGTCTATAAATAATGTCCAGAAATCGGGCATCACTGATAAGTAATGTATATTTCATAGATATATGTATAAATACTCCTTTTTTGCAAGTTTTACTTTTAGGCAAGGGTCATGATCTGGTCTCAACTCATCTTCATGCTTTTTGAGTATCAGCTATTCGGTCAGACTTCCGGCAGACTTCTATTTCAAAATACAGAAAAATGAATCAATCCATAATATACACAGCTATTTATGAATATATTTCCCATTTGTATCTAGTCTCAGTAAGAAAACTAGGAAGACATCGAATTTGTAATCAATCATACACGATTGAAATCTTGTTGGAATAATAATTTAAAAACTTTATTGCAGAGAAAAACATTGCAAGGAATTATCCATAAAATACCCCTATAAATATTCCCACATACGGTAATCTTCAATTAAGATAAGATAAGACTTTATTGCATGAAAACGGACAATCGGGAAAGCTTGCAAAACATTTACATATAAATACTTAATTAGCACACATAATCTATGTAATTAGCACACACCATCTATGTAATTAGCACACACCATCTATGTAATTGACATAAGATCTGTGTAATTAGTGTAAAATAATATATATATTATATTATCAAAATTACACTGCATACGATGCAAAATAAGCGTAATGCTTTACATATTTATCTGGATTACACTTCAAAAGTAACAAAATGCTAAAACATCTGCCAAATTTTTAAAGTCTGAAATGAAATGCCGCACAATTCCAAACATTTCTTTATTTCCGAAATTTTTACTTTCTAGATAAGATTGTATTTTTATAAAACAAAAAATGTTGAACTGCAGCCATAGTCTGTTTTAATATTGTTTTATATTATTTAGTAAATGGAAAGATAAAGAGTTAATTTTTTATTGTCTTATTTATCTAAAAAAAAAAATAACGGATATTATAGCAATTTTCATTTTATTTTTTTATTTTGGTTGTGTGCTGTTTTACTTGATGACTTGCCCGTATCTTATCGTTAAAATGGACACAGACCTATCTTAAGTGATGTAGACAAATTTAAATTTGTGAGTTGATATCGGCGGTATATCTCCCCCTGCGCTTTGATATATATCCACTTTACTTACTAACATTGCACCGGTGTTTGACAGCTGGAAGGGGGGGTTTGATTTACGACCTTGAAAACACACCCAGTTGACTTTGACAAACCAAGATATTCTAGATATGTAACGAAAACATTAATTTAGATTTATTTGGAATGTTCATAAAAAATAATAATGCGTTGCCATGCTACGTTAATACTGGATATGATATTTCTTATGGCAATAAAGCAAAATTCTGAATAAAATATTTGTATGACTTTATTCCTCACAAAGAATTGGTAAGGAAGCACCATGTGTAGCTATGCGTGATAAAATGTTTATATAATTAAATCAGTACATTATGCTAGAATTTTAACTTCCAGAAATATTTACAGAAATCGATTTAAAATGACCAGACGGTCATCAAACTTTTTCTTGTCTGTGATATCGTCCATGGTGGAAACGAGCGTAAAACCCTACGAACGTTTGATCACGCTATTTCATTTGGACAAATTACGAAAGTGTTGATTAATGAAGTTTGATTGGTTGATTTGCTTTGTGATCTTGTCTTGTAATCTTCTCAGGTGACACATTTTCAGATCTGTCAAAATTGAAGTTTTATTAATTCGGATTGAAAGCAAGCAGCGGTCTTGTGTATATTGGCAGTGATTCAGTTGGGTATTTCATGTAAAGGGTTGCTAAACAATTCGAATTTATGGTATGTTCAAATCAAATCGTATTATACGAAGTACGTTTTTTAAAAGTAGGCTTCCGAACGTCATACTTTAGTATTTTCTATATATTTGAAATTTAAAGTACAAAGCATAATCGCGTGTGCCGCGAATCACATCTCTCGTGACACGCAAACCTATCAAAATGTGTATCAAAATTGTTTGAAGGATATGCCGATGAAAAAATCAATTTCATTTGGTCGTATATTGTCGTCGCCCCGTCCTTCCGTCCGTCGGGTCCGTCATCAAACATTTCTTGTGAACACTCTACAGACTTCATTTATCATTTAATTGTTTTGAAATTGATATATGTTGTTTACAATAGTGAGAAAAAGAATCATATTTAATTTCAATAATTTCCGTTAATTTATTCTGGATTTATGGCCCTTGTTTCACCTTGTTGCACGTTTTGAACGCTTTAACATCAAAAGTTATCGGCCGATCTGTATGAAATTTATATGCGTCATTTAATTTAGGAAAAAATAAGTTTATACACAGTGTCAAAGTTCATGAAAATAATTCTATTTCCGTTAATTACGGTCGGAATTATGATCCTTGATCTATTTTAAAACACTCGTGTGTGGTGAAAAGTATTTATGTTTATGAGGCGAAGAAGTATGCGGCCATCTGTGTGGACTGCTCCAGTGACTTAGCTGATGTGGGCTTATGGTTTGTTGGCTGGTAACCTATCCTTTTTGTATACGCCCACATAGAAATGTGGACGTATATTGCCGTCGCCCCCGTCCGTCGGTCCGTCTGTCCATCGTCCACAATTTCTAGTGAACGCTCTAACGCCAAAAGTTATCATCCAATTGTTCTAAAATTGATATATGTTGTTTACATTAGTGAGATGAAGAATCCTATTTAATTTTAATAATTTCCGTTTATAACGTCTAGAGTTATGGCCCCTGTTTCACTTTGTTGAACCTTGTGAACGCTGTAATCAGCTGTAATGCTGTGAAATTTATATGCATAAGTTAAATTAGTGATACGAAGATTCCTATTGCATATCAGAAATTTCCGTTTATTATGACCCTTGTTTCCCATTGTTGAACCTTTTGAACGCCAAAAGTTATGATCCGCTCTGTATGAAATTTGTATGCATCATTTAAATTAGTGAAACCACGAAGCCTACTGAATTTTTGCAATTTACAATAATTACTTCTAGAGTTATGGCCCTTGTTTCACTGTGTGCAACCTTGTTAATGCTCGATTGATGGAAGTTATCATGCATGAAATTTATATGCATCATTTAAATTTGTGAAACGGAGATCTATTGAATTTCAGCAATTTCCGTCAATTATTTCTAGACTTATAGCCCTTATGAATCTTGTGAAATTTCGAATGACAAAAGTTACCATCAGATCTGTATGAAATTTATATGCATTGTTTAATTTAGTAAAACGAAAATGCATGTCAAATTTTAAAATTTTCTGTAGATTATTTGAAATAATGGTACCCCAACATCAAAGGATGACGTCACATCTGTATTTTAATTTCATAGAATGTACTATTTTGGGTTTATTTCAGTCCCTATAGTATTATTAATCTAATAGAATGGATAATATTTAGGGTTTATCCCAGTACCTGTAGTATTATTAATTATAATGGAATGTATAATATTTAGGTTTTATTTCAGTTCCTATAGTATTATTAATTGTATAGAATGTATAATATTTAGAATATGTTTTAGGATAAAAGATATTACAGGTATATACATTATCTGAACAGAACATGTCACTGTTGTTTTTATTTTATCAGTTAGCAGAATGAAATATAGTAAGCTTTTGTTATTTTAACGCCATTTTTTCACGACACTCCATCCAAAATGGTAAACGATAATATAGAGTAATGCATTGTACTTTTATACCTTTAAAGATACATTCCCGGGTACAAAGTCACTGATTTGATGATATATTTGGACTAAAATCATATTCAAACTAATTAATTTATCATAATTTTGCTTCAAATCCTTCTCAAAACATTGCAATTGTCGGGGAATACCCTACTATAAAAAATCGATCAACAGAGGAGGTCATGTTTGTGTCACGTGACTTACCTCTCTCGGTACCTAGCAACGCAAGCGAAGCGAAGTCGGAGGAGAATTCATTGCATACACAAGACGATGTTGTCTTTAATCGCTGACTATTCATTACAAATATCGAAGCCTAATTAAATTTTCGATTATCCACTGCCCGCGTCTTTTTCCGTAATTTTTATCTCAGAAAGTATTGTACGTCTAATTCTTCATAAAGTTTATCAAAATGTACATGAAGCGCGTGCAGACACTCCTAATCGTCGGGCTGTCGATTAGGGAAACCCTTATATTTTTGTCCTGTATGCGCTCCATGAGTGTTTTTCATGGAATCCAGTATTTTTCTAGTAAGATTCGATATTTCTACTTTCCATATATACCAAAATTTCCATACTTTTATTGGAAATAACCACCCGATAAATACTTTTCTGGGAACGTAGCTTTAATAGATCTATTAGAAAATACTGGAAAGTTTGGTTTTCAAATATCATCGACTATAATGCGAATTGGTGTACATTTGAGCACACTTTTAATAAACGTCCACATCCGCACTATAAATATATTGGTCAGGTCTTTTACATCTTGGGAAAATTAAGAAGTCCATTAACTGATATTTTCTAGTATGTCAATACTTTGTGTGAATGTTAAATTTTTCATCTATAAACAATAATCATTGCCGCTGACTGTGCCCATATTTCCACTGTAAATGAAGATGGCAAAATGGGAGTAGATAAAGTTGAGAGATGATAATATGAGCTTGATAATAAATAAGAATTTGCATCCGATTTTCCATAAAGAAAAAATATACCCGCACTCATACAAATGCGTAACTGTTGTGAAACTCTGCACATAAGCATAAACCATAAAAGCCATTAAGTCGACTCTTGAAGAACATTAATTGTTACTACACCTATATTTTCTGACCTGTACCACTTAAAGCGTACACTACGACCAATCAAGCATGATAAAACTAAATAGATGGTAATTCTAGCACCAACTTATCGTGAACGTTTCACCTGGTTTTTGACATGGTGCCACCTGTAAAAACTGGGGTAGATAGATAGGTACTAGTACATTGATAACGTAATATTATTGATTCGGCTATACCCATAATATCCAACATGCGTATAACCGTATCTGTAAATATAATATTTTATAAATGAACCCGTGTTTAATGCTAACTCTTACATATTCTTCATTTGCAGAAACAATGTTTTATTATTTGTAAATATATAATGTTGTATGTTTATGACCATAATTTTTTTGAAGACAATACAAAACCTAGGTATAGTTTTGCATGCGTCTTGGCAAAGTTTCTGTTGTTCAGATATATCAGACCCCTGGTCACTCTGGGACTAAAGTTAACATTCAATTAACTCTAAACTTCTACTCAGTGTTTTTTTTTTGTTTTTTGATATTGGCCTTGATTATGTATTACAGTATAACGATTTCTTTATATGAAGATTCACGTTGCGACAGGGTTTGGAGACCACATGGATGATTTAGCTGTTTTGTTGCCTGGTAACTCATCTTTTTTCCTTTATTTTTCAGACGAATGTTCCCAGCTTTTCAAGTTCGTGTAACTGGAATGGATCCCCATTCTGACTATATGGTAATGATGGATTTTGTCGCCTCAGATGACAAACGATACAGGTATTCCTTTCACAGTTCTAGTTGGGTGGTAGCTGGTAAAGCTGATACCCAGATGCCTGGCAGGATTCACATGCATCCAGATTCTCCAGCGAAAGGTTCACAGTGGATGAAACAAATTATATCATTTGATAAACTCAAATTAACCAATAACCTCTTAGATGACAATGGGCATGTAAGTACACTGTAATATTAACCACATACTCATGTGTAGACGCTAAAGCGTTTTATTTAGACACGCGAATTGGACACTCAACTCATTTCGCAAGTCGCTCCCTCCCATATGTACAAAGCCTGTTAGAGCCTACATATAATTATTAACTATTCTACTTTGACACATTTGCAACTTCTCATCAGCCTTAACGATGTTTTCGTGACATTCTTATCTGTTTGTATTTGGAAACTTGGTGTGTAAAAAATCCAGAATTTTGCTTATATATACATTCGGCAGCTGCGGTGGCTCATTGAGTAAGGTACTGGGTCACTAATCAGGAGATCTGTGGTTCGTTCCCGGTGATGAGCGAGAAAGTTCACCGAGATTATCCAGCGGTGTGTTCGGATGGGACGAAAAGCCAAGGCCCTGTTTACACATTGGCATGCATCTAAAATAACCCCTGACACTGGAATTTGAGATAAGAGAAGGCCACCATGCCATGGATTCCTTACGAATTTTATAATATTTTCTTGTAGTCAGTTCAGGTGAATGAACTGTAGCGTATAGCGTATATCTTCTAGAATATTGGCTACAGATAGACCATTACCTTATCACTAAGCTCTATTTAGGATATTAATACTTATAAAAATATACACTTATTATATGAATTGTGATTTTACTATCATTTATGATGCGTTTTTATGTGAAATGTGATTGTCGAAGTTGTGCGTTTCAACGTGTTCCGATAATTCCGGTAGTTATCACCCTTGATGAATTTGATAAACCTTGTGTATTCTTCGGGGTTATACACTGTGATGTTTATGAGTTTAAGAGGCATTCGAACAAAATGTATAATACACGTTACTACTAGGAAGAACTGATAACCAATAAAGTTTTAATTTCTGATAATTACGTCATGGATTGTTATTCCTGATCAGTGTTTAATATTGTAAATTCTCCCAATACTTATACAGAAATAAATATGTGACAATCTGGGTGGATTGCTTAATGAGTTATATTTCGTTGATTTGCAACCTGTCTAATTATACTTTTTCAGATAATCTTAAATTCCATGCATTCGTACCAGCCTCGTTTTCATGTTGTATATAATCCACCGAAATCAGAAGACGTAACAGAAATGGAAGTCTTCAAACATTTTATTTTCCCCGAGACCAAATTTACAGCCGTCACAGCCTATCAGAATCACCGAGTAAGTTTTGAAATTTCATACTAATAGAAGTGTATTTGCTAATACATTTTGTACGCCCATATTGAAATGTTGTCATGCATATTGTCATCACCCCGTCAGTTCACCCGTCTGTCCGTCTATCTAGAGGCTACCGTTATCATCGATTGACTTTAAATTTATATACAGTCATGGGACACAAGGGTCTTCTGATAATTGTCTATAATTCCTGCCAGAGTTATGACCCTTGATCACTTTTAGAAATCATGTGGACGTTCTAGGGCTATGGTTATCATTCGATTGACTTACAGCGATTTCCAGTAATTACTGCCAGAGTCATGGAACTTGATTACTTAAAAAGAATTAACCGCTCTTACTTTGGACTCAACGCCTTTACTAAATTGGAGCTTTACCCCATGTCTCTACATTCCACTGTAACGCTGCCACGGTCTCCGTGTTGTGAATTTCTTCGGCAATGCCCGGCCTATAATCGTGCCAAAAATCAAATTTCTGCTGCATTATGTCTGCCCGTCACTTCCCGTCAAATCAATGGTGCCTCGTCATTCCTCTCCGAATAGTGTGAAGGCTTTAAGGGGTTGTTTTAATAGAATACATTTTAAACGGCCTCTAGCATGAAGGTGAACGTTGTGTAACAGATATCGTTGACTGTACGAGTTCCTGCAGGATTTATATATATATCATATGAGCGCAATACGTGTACATGTTCCACTTTAAACTATACACAGCGCCGTGAATATCAGCACGTTCTCGGCTGATTTATTTCATTTATACATCAATCAAGATATGAGAAGGTATTAGGGTTATCTTCCCCACATGCTGTGTAGAAAATAAATGAAATCAAAAACTTGTCAAAAGAAAGTAATGCTTGCTGAAATATGATGCTAATTTTTATACGCGCAAATTGAATGTGGTCGTCACATCCGTCCGTCCGTCTAGAGGCTAAAGGTTATTATACGATTGGCTTTATTGAAATTTACAGACCGTGTGTATGTTCGTTCGACGAAGAATCCTATTGATTTTCAACAATTTCCGATAGTTTCTGTCAGAGTTACAGCCCTTGGTCCGATCGAAAAATAGTCGGGACACGCTGGAGGCTACTGTTATCATACGATTATTACACGGTCTGGATGTTCGTAAAACAAAGAAGCTTATTATATTACAATGATTTCCATTAAGTAATGTCAGAGAGAGAGAGAAAGAGAGAGAGAGAGAGATGGAGTTTAACGTCCACTCGACCCAGACTATGTCATTTCGGGACTAACATATGGTTTAATTTTATTTCGATAGTTCGCATGCGCGTAGGGGTCTTTAGCAGTGGGAGGAAACCGGAGGACACGGAGAAAACCCGCGAGGTTGGACAGGCAACCATACTCCTTGTCACGTACAACCGGGGATTCGAAACTACGCCAGTTGACTCAATGACAGGCCTTATGATACAGCGCGCACGTGCTAACCATTCGGCCACCCATCCCCCAAGTAATGTCAGAGTTATGTTCATGAGAATAAGAAGCTGTTAAATCGACACCAATCAAACATTAATTATTTCTGATAATTGCTTCATGGTTTGTTACTATTGATCTTTTAAATAAGAAATATGCAACAGTCTCTGTGGACTGTGTGAACTACTTAGCTGTTGTGGGCGTATGCTTAGTTGTCTGGCAATCCATCTTTTTAAAAGTTAGGTTATTCATATTAAATATTAAAATATCATACATCATTATTTATGATATGGTAATGGTAGTTTATTTAATCACGAGAATAGCATGGCCATTGAAAAGCTTGTCTAGATAAATTTGAAATATGTTTCTATTTTTTCCATTTCGGTGGGTGCACAAATGCAAGACGTTAAACCCCATTCTTTTATTTCTATTCATTTCGTTTATATATCTATTTATAAATTAGCAGGGTGAAATTTTAGGGACCGTTTTCCTGTGACACTGAGTCCTTATTCATGTATCCAATTATAAGAGTAACTAATCATTTTTATACGCCCTCATTGAAGTATGGTCGTATATTGTGTCATGTGAAATATCTGGCAATCTATCTTAATTGTTTTCGCTCTTTGGTGGAAATTTAATTAAAAACTATCTTTCAATAAAAAAAACGTTTTTGTTAATAATTATTTTCAGATAACTCAGTTAAAAATAGCCAGCAACCCATTTGCTAAGGGTTTCAGGGATTGCGATCCTAATGATTGGTAAGCATACTATTTATTTAATCAAATATCGCTTTTCGATTAACGTCTACGTTTAACAAATAATAGATATTGAAAACAAACTGCATTGAGTGCTTTTCTACTGTGGATCAACCCCTGTAGATCATGGGATCGCCTTAAAAACAAACCAAATAAAAAAAAAACTATTTCAAGTTTCTGCCATCTCATGGGAAAATACACAACGTATCTCATTTATTGATGTCGCTTCTTAGCTGTAACATATTTGGAAGAGCGACAAACGTACATGTTTCCATAGAACATTGCTATTTAAGTCTTTAATGCTATTAGTATCATTATTTCCAGTATGGCTGAAGTGTTAAATCAAATGCACCAATATCCGGGTAAAAATAGACAGTTAAATTCTGTTCATTTACTGAAAGAAAGAAAGAGAAAACGAACGGATGATACAGGTAAATTATATTCTATCAATTATTTCTTTCAAATAAAATTATATACTTTAATTGCAAACGAAAAATAAACTAAAGTAGAAATGGCTATTTAGTAAACTGAGTGCCTATAATATTGTTATACGTTCACATTGAAATATAAAGTTGACTTTGAATTCATACACGATATTTATGTTCACGAGACCCAGAATCCTATTTATTTTCAACGATTTTCAATGATTACTCTCAGGGGTATGATCCTTAATAATTTGAAAAAATCTTGTTGGTGCTCTTAGCGCTTATGTTATTATCCGATAACGAAATTATTACCCTTGATCACCTAGAAAATCTTGTAGACGCAGTGAAGACTAAAGTTATCATTCGATTGACTTTATACACAGTATTTGTTTTCCTACAACGCATATTTATTCGAACAGCCAGAATTATACTGATTACCGGTAAATGTTTTGCTAGCACTCTAAAGTACGTTGTTGCCAATCAAATTTTTGTACATGCCCCATTACCCGCTAAAGAATAACAATTCAACAGCCATTATAGACTACGACTTAGAGGGTGTTTATTCGAAAATTGTCACCTTTCTATTATTGGGTGAAATGAAATGATACAACAATAAGTGGCCCATTTAATAAAGGCCATTGTTACATTACGTTATATCTAATTATGATTATATTTAGCTGCATCGACCTGTTAAAGATACATTATGGGAGATTCGATAAAAGAGTTGGCAGTTCTCACTATAATAGTTAAAAACTACATAATGTAAAGGCAGTTTGCTGAAAATTTCATTCAAATTGATCCACTATGAACCGAGAACTAAGCGGTTGAAATTTCCGGCTAGCCTTGATCATCAATACTAAAGTCAGTACGATAAACAGCATAGTCTCGATTATCCATTTAATCGTTAAATCGTGATGGAAAGTTATGCAGTAAATCGGCTCATAATTCACTAAAGATCGCGGGCTAGCGATGCCATCTAGAATTGATTATGGTCTGGATAGGTTAATTAATGTCTAATTAATAGTTTAGATAACATTTCAGGCCTAAAGAAAGACCTGCAATAGGCAAATTCAGCTCTTGCATAATGTATGTTTAAGTGTTGCTTCTTTTGATTCGGAAACTAAGATAGACACTAAACCATATTCTTATGCCATACCGTTAATTGTAATCAATGAGAGAGAAACTAGGTCAATTCGAGACTAACATGTGGTTCAATTTATTTCACTAATTCGCTTGCGCGTAGGGGTCTTTAGCAGCGGGAGGAAACCGGAGGACCCGGAGAAAACCCACGGTTGGACAGGCGACCCTACTCCTTGTCATGTACAAACGGGGAATCGAAACCACATCCAACCCCCCTATAATCAGTGAAAACTGACAATGAAATAAACCGGAAACGAAGAATATATAATAAATCATTAATTATCTTGTCAATTTGATATTTTTTGTAATAATAATATGTATATAATATATATTGTTTACTTATACAGATACATCAGGTCCTGACATCAGTAAACCCTGTCTCGTGTCGCCTGCTATTTCAGCTGGCTTTTCCGGTGGTTTTAACACAACACACCCTACACAAATATACTCTGGTTGTTATTCATACCCACCTTACCAAATAGAGAATTATTTCTCTTCGAGGAAGGATCGATCAACGCCTTATAATCCGCATGTGGACTACCCATCTTATAGTGTATTCTAGTACTGAAAAGTTAAAATGGCTACCTGTGATTTCTGACTCTTGTTTGCGCTGTGTTGATGATATAAGGTGTATGTGTGGTACTTGATACTAGTGAAAGAACCTATTTATGATATAATGTAAACTTTTTGTTGTTGTTATGCATTGAAATGGGGTCGTATAATGTCAAAAACCCACGTCTACCTGTCCGTCTTGCACAATTGCTTATCATCCAATTGACTCAAAGTTTATACACAGTGTCTAAGTTCATGAAAATAATTCTATTTCCGTTAATTACGGTCGGAATTATGGTCCTCGATTTATTTGAAAACACTCGTGTGTGGTGAAAAGTGTTTATGTTTATGAGACGAAGAAGTATGCGGCCCCTGTCCATCGGTCTGTCGGTCCGTCGTCCACAATTTCTTGTGAACGCTCTAACTCCAAAAGTTATTATCCGATTGTTTTAAAATTGATATATGTGGTTTACATTACTGAGATAAAGAAGTCTATTTAATTTCAATATTCTCTGTTAATTACGTCTAGAGTTATGGGTCTTGTTTCACTTTGTTGAACCTTGTGAACGCTATTACGCCAAAAGTTATCATCCGATCATTGTGAAATTTATATGCATTATTTAAATTACTATCAAGCTTGGGCTAATTTGGATGATACACTTTGATTCGTTGATGCTTTGGAACACGAAAACTCCACTTGAGTGAGAGTGGCGAAACTTGGAGTACAGATTCATTACATCAATAATGAAGATTTTATGCTCAGGCCATGCAGATTGATAAGTAATTTGTTTGTACGATGCTCTATAAAGAGATAAATGTGCAAGTAATTAATGAATGTGATCTATTTATTCGGGGATTAAGACGGGGAACACCAGCCCTGTGGCTGACTTGTTAAATTTATGATCTTTAGTGGACAACTCTTTGGTGTAAATATTATATTTGTTAAGAGTTATTAATATATTTAGAGCCCTTAGTGATAATATCTAAAAGATGTCCGTTCAGCTTCAGTCCGTAACATTTTGAACTCCATCGGAACATCTTCAGGCCTTTAATACATATATCTATGTTCTCTTTTATATTTTGAATACCTACATGACCGGTTGTATAATTTCAAGTTTGTGTGTATTATTTAATGCAGTAATGATAAAGGGAAATATATATATATATTTCCTAACAATATAAATTGTGCCTTTCTAATTAAAAATATACATGTACGTGGTTGTATCATTCTAGTTCAAAATATACAGTGTGCCTTTCTTATTCAGTTATAGTGCCTATATGTAATCAAAAATATACATGTTCCTGATTGTGACATTTCTAACTAAAACTATACATCATTGTGCCTATGTAATTAAAAATATACATATGATTGTGCCTATGTAATTAAAGATATACATATAATTTTGCTTTTTTATACGCCCACATGGAAATGTGGTTGTATATTGCCGTCGCCCCCGTCCGTCTGTCGGTCCGTCCGTCCGTCGTCTACAATTTCTTGTGAACACTCTACAGACTACATTTATCATCTGATTGTTTTGAAATTGAGAAATTGATATATGTTGTTTGCATTAGTGAGATGAAGAATCCTATTTAATTTCAATAACTTCCGTTAATTTCTTCTGGAGTTATGGCCCTTGTTTCACTTTGTTGCACCTTGTGAACGCTCTAACGACAAAAGTTATCAACAGATCTTTATGAAATTTATATGCATCATTTAAATTAGTAAAACAAAAAATCCTATTTAATTTCAGCAATTTCCGTTAATTACATCTAGAGTTTTGGCCCTTGTTTCACTTTGTTGAATCTTGTAAACGCTCTAATGATAACAGTTATCATCCCATCTGTTTGAAATTTATATGCATCATTTAAATTAGTGAAACGAAGAAGCCTATTGAATTTCAGCAACTTTCGTTAATTACGCCGTGAGTTATGGCCCTTGTTTCACTTTGTTGTACCTTGTGAATGTGCTCTGACGACAAAATTTATTATCCGATCTGTATGAAATTTATATGTATCGATTAAATTAGTAAAACGAACAAGCTTATTGAGTTTCAGCAAATTTCCGTTAATTACACCTAGATTTATGGCCCTTGTTTCACTTTGTTGAATCTTGTGAACGCTCGAACGACAAAAGATTTTACTCAATCTGTATGAAATTCATCTGCATCATTTAAATTAGTTATGCCCCTTGTTTTACTTTGTTGTACCTTGTGAACGTTCGAACGACAAAATTTATCATCCGATCTGTATGAAATTTATATGAATTATTTAAATTAGTAAAACGAAAAAGGCCTGTCGAATTTCAACAATTTCTGTAGATTACTTCCAGTGTTATGGCCCTTGTTTTAGTTTTTAGAACCTTGTGAACCCTCAAACGACTAAAATTATATTGTCATCTGTATCAAATTGTCTATTAAATGCCCCTAATTACCTCCAAAAGAATAATTAGCTGCTGTGGGCGTATGTTTTGTTGCCTGACAACCTATCTTCATTTAAAATATACATGAGTGTGCCTTTCTAATTTTAAATCTACATGGATGTGTCGTAATTTCCTTCAATTGCTTTCTATTACAGTTGTAGAAATATTAAAATATGATATTACAGATAATAACCGTCAGATTGAGATTGAAATATATTTTTAATATCTGTTTTATATACCCAAATTGAATTGTGGTCGTACATTGGCGTCCCCGCCTTCCCTTCGCCCGTCGGCCACAATTGCCTGTGGACGCTCTAAATGCTAAAGTTATTATTAGATTGAAATGAAATTTATAAGACGGCACAGCTTATCAGAGTCACGCTAAAGAGGCCCATTACCTACAAAAGAATAAATATGCAACGATCCTCGTGGACTGCCCGGGTAATACGACAATGTTTATGAAATGCCGTACGCATCAGCAACTGAGGACGTATGTTCATTGCCTGGCAGCCTATGTTTTAGAAATATGTGCTATGTTAGATAAATATTATTAATTGTGCCCCCTCCCCATATCATGTATACGCCCTTGCTTGTGTTTGAATGTATAAAGCAACGAAAGAATTCAGTATGAAACATGCTTTGTGAAATAAGGTGCTGATCTCAGTAATAAAATAATATCAATCTGAATGCTTTGTGTTACAACTACCACATGTGTTTTGTCGGGGAAATAATCGGAAAATCGCACTACCCATAACGGTAAGGAATGATTATAAAGTGACCGATGAATCTGTTAAAACAACCTCACAAGGTCTACCAAACATGTTCCAAGTTATTCATCCATTCATCTATAAGTAGTGACAGGGCTCAAGTTGAGGCAGGTGTGGTTATCTTTCTGGACCACCCCATAGATCTCAGTATTATAAGAGAGTACGCGTGGGACTTATAAAATGCTCTGAAAGTTCCAAATCATCGCACCAATCAGCAAGGGACTGCGAAAGCGGGTTGATCGGCTGAATTGTTAACCAGCGTGTTCATTTGACCATCGCAAATTAACTCATATTCAATCCAGTTGTATATGTGGTTTCGTTATTAAAACAATTACACAAGACAACCCAGTGGACAAGACATACACTATACAGACATTTCAAACAAACAATAAAAGTTATGTAAATCATAACCTCTCTTGATTCACCATTTTTAATGCATAGTTTAATTTTGATATTTATGTCTAATAGACTGAGTACAAATACACATCGAAAGAACAGGACACACAGTGCCAATATACACATGTTACTCTGATAAATAGATTAACCATCTCCTGAAATGGTGAGGCAAGGCTGTGTTATATTCTTGGTCGTCAAGGGTGGGTGTAAGCGTATGCTGGTAAATCTACTTGCATTAAAATCTTCAAATATTTCTATGGTATTACGGAATCTTTGTTGTCCCGTCATGGATACGCGTTTGTTTTAGGCATACTGAAGAACAGAAGGCCTGCTGGAATCGATCCTCTAAAATGTGATTACATTGTCGTCTGTTTCCAATAATCGATAGGCTTGGCAGACTGAAGCCTAGGGCTTCAAGATCTAGGGGGCCTCCCGCCTAGGTGTATAATAGTTTTGAAACCTTCATAAGCTTTTCTTACACGCACTGTAGTCTAAAACATCAATCATCATCCTCGACTTTACTCAGTTGTTTTAAAAACACACTTTCGTCTTCTCTAGTCGTTGAGGGTGGGGATTAGGAGAGGTCACATAAGTGAAATAGCCTAGGCCTCTTTCCATCTAAATCCGGCACTAAATAATGTTGTTATTGCCATTGGTCACTTTGAAAAAACAAGTGGTCGATACATGGGTCCATTAATCTACTGAATGACTTAAAATTTATATGGGTCGACGACGTTTTCCGATAGCTAACATTCTCATCTGATTTGTTGGGTCCAAGAAGAATTCTGTGAAATTTTGATTATTTCCGATAATTACACCAAGAGTTGTTGCCTTACAGCTCTTATAAACGAATAAAAACTCGAGAACGACTGTTATGGGCATATGTTACGTTGCCTTGCATCCTATATTTAACTTTTTTTTATAGACAACTTTTTCTTTAACCTGTGGACGAAAGATACATTATCAATATCCATTAAAATAAAGAGAAGCATATTATAATTGGCTTGTAGCCCACGTTTTATCATGCATAAATAAACACATTTCCGGTCTAGATTTTGACAAGTTTAATAAACAGACGTGGACTTGTCTGGTCTCTTAAAGTTATTACATACCAATACGTTGGTGTAATTTCAATAGTAAAGAACGATTCAAACTTCGCGTCTTATGGGTCGTGCGTTAAAAGTCTTGGAAGCCATAAATGGGAATTATCAAAGCAATTAATACTCAAATAGCTTAATAGCACGTTTTGGAAACGTAAGCATATCTAAGTCATGCGGGACCCGTCGCCAATATAAAATTACATAGATTGTGAGTACTAGAAAATAAATATCAAAGAGACAACGATGACGATTACAAATGCTTTACGTTGTAAATAGCGCCGTCTCTGTATTTTCGGTGTTTGCTACGAACTCAATATAAAGCGTATGAGCTATGACATTATGTATCAACTATAGTAGACCTCTAAAAGGGTTATTAACAATTGGAGATTTAAATCACTTCTCTTGTATATTTGGACTAAAACTAGTAATTCTCTCATGGTTGTTAGATCTAAGCCATTACTTGACCTATATATAACAGTTTTTAACATCCAGATGCTCATAATCATCTTCATAATCACAAAGAGCAGAACATGTCACAATCATCTGAAAAAAATATGGAAATAGATCGGCCTTTTCGATTGTTCAGAGTTCTACACTTGGTAAAAGGAACCTCTGTCGGTGACTCCCTTAATTCATGTATACTTCTGATCTTTCCACCTGAAAATCATGAATATTCACTAAAATGCAAATCCAAACACGCTTCTTTCATTCTAGACTAAAAATTGTTATACAAAAGTCGCAAATAGTGGTAAAGTGCTGCATTTAATTACTAGTCTTAATCCAATCACGGCACACTACTGGAAATAGTATAAATAGGTGTATGCCATTGCCATTCGGAGGGCCAACGAGGGTACCACAACGTGGGTCTTTGGGAAAAGGGGAATTGTCATGATCTTCATCATCTTGAAGGCACCATCTTTTATTTGTAAACTCTATAGTGGCTTTTATAATGGTCCCATTACTCACAAAATTGTTTGACCACTTTTGTAGACTCTCCGGATGACTTAGCTGATTTTGGCGTATATTTTGTTGCCTAACAACACGGGCGTTAGGGGGCGTTCATAATCTGTCTTAATCTACACAGCAGATTCAAATTAGAGAAACATTGGTCACTGCCTACAGATTTCAGATATTCTAAAGCCATAGCCATGTTTGTATCTGATGTCCTAACATCAAAACAATTAATAACCAATAAATCAAAGTTCTTTTGGCAATACTTTGCTACCTATAAACTGACCTACACGAAAAAATATTCCCATATGTGTGTCTGAAGATTCCTTGATTGTAGTAAACCTTGACGTTATGTGTTAATTGGTACAGGTGTATCTTTCAATTTATGTACACACGCGTAAATATACTCGTTAAATAAACAAATCAACGCTTAATTTCCCGCCATTTCCGCATGACTACCAGCGCTCGTGTTGCCATAGAAATAATATCATTATGCCTACCTGATCGCTTCTTAGTTATCAAAAAAGAATACATCTAGAGAGAAAGAACAAAGAAATTGAAGGCTTTTAAAAAGAGGAAAAGAAACAGACCGAAGACACTTCGTCGCCATTGTGATTCTCAATCCGCCCTTCTAACGACCTCGCCCAAAAATGGAAAGACAGTTTTTCGAGGCATCAAAGTCGCGCTATTCAGTATTGGGTTACCCAGAATTCTCATTAGACTTAGACATATGTGACAAAAATCTTAATTTCAATACAAAAAGAAAATGTTCTTTTATTTGGAGGAATTAGAGGATCTGATTCTCAAGTATATATTTGATTTAGTTTCAATTATTTCAGTAAAAAGTGACGCGTTGTATTCAGAATTTATATCGAAAACAGTGCAGCATTACATTTATCACCCTAATTATTTGTACGTTGTTTATAAAACAACAAACGGTTTGAGTAACAATACTGGCACTATTTTCAAATCTTAACTTTAGTTTTGTTTAAACATCTTTGGTCATTTAGACATCATAAAACTGTTGTTGAACTCATAATGACTGATAGTTTGAATTACATTGAAATGTAACTACCATTATTGTTGTAGCGTCAACTGTGTCCGTTCATAGAACAGCTTTCTGTATGCGTCTGTACGTCTTGAAATGCGAATAATGCAGGTCGTTCTTTCCGTTCGTCTCCTCTGGGAACGTGATAACTTTGATTAACTCAACGAGACTGTTAAGTCATTTAAGATGAGCATCAAATCGCTCAAATAATACTCATTGCTTTTTTTAAATTTTTTCATATTTTTAATAACATAAAGAAAATGTATGCCAAATATAACCAGATCGCCTGTCATATTTGTTTTAATTTGGACAACATGCATGGGAGCTAGAGTTAACTTTAACGTATCGGGAACGGTTCCGAGAACGAAACTCTTAACACGGCCAAGTGTAAACGTGTGAAAGAAAATATTATACATGGAATGATCAAATAATAAATAATCTAATTTTATTTATTGATTTTAAGGGTGAAAGATTTCTTATACATATAGATAGATTTAAAATGTCAAATATTAAAATCTCCTTTTTTGTATACTTTAATGCTTATTGATGAAGCTATAGTATAAGTATAAAACACGTCCGTGTTAATCTCTTTATATAGTTGATCCTATATGTCTGTCAGTAAGTTCTGACAAGTATAAATATATTGTCGTCCTGATGTTCACTTGTAATATTTTAAACATCTGTTAAACTCGTTTATCCCCACATTCTAACAACCATCAAAACTCAAAGAAAATATTTGCAGAGATGTCGGTGTAGCGAGAAAGCGTTATAAATTTCCCCCTTTATATACAAAACACACAGCATCTCAAGAAAAAAAATGCCCGAGCCAAACACAACTTACAATTTCATGGGTTACCGGTATTCAATTTAGCGTTCACTTGTTTTGAAAGTTGAAATGTCGTTTTTATAGATATAAATTCTGTGTTCCATTTAGTTGTCTTACTATAAAAAAAACCACACAATTATAAATTATGTCTATCTCCAAAGATATTTTATAAAAAAAAATAGTAATTTGCTCATGGGAATAATTTCAAAAATTCGTATATAATTTCAAAAATTGTTATTTGGATTTCGAAAGGCATAAAATAATAACAAACAATGTCGTTTTGAATATTGAGATATTTTTGTTGCAAACCTAATAGTTTTAGTCTGGGGACAAAAATCCACCAAAGCCTTCGAGGAGCCTTCGAAAACACAGGACGTGATTCGCTAGAAATATTTAGGACCCGGATGTTTTTGCAGTGGACCTAGTTAAATTATACTGGACGTGTCAAAGCATTGAACAACATTGATGAAGCTATATAATTACGTTCGATGTTTAGTATTATGCCACTTTTAAAAGAGTCTAATAGATGTTACTGTTCAAATGAAAATAGAAATAATCAAAAAGATAGATACAAAACTATGGGGACCGGACGACTTCCG